GACAACAACAACAACCAAGCCTAATCCACTACGTGTGGTCGGCTGTATGAATCCTAGAACGCCATTGCGCTCAGTTTTGCACCACATTAACCCACATTAAGTGAAACAAGAAACAAAGAGGATAAAACTGTGAAAACTAAATTACCTCTTACAGTCTCGCATCTTTTCAGTGAGCTCTTCCAGCTGCCTACTCCGCCTATTTGAGTCCTTAATCTTCTCCAGCTTCTGAAACCCATTTCTGCCATAAATTCAAACACGTAAGAGTATTAGAAAGCCTGTACTCTTCAGGAACCATAAAATAATCAGAAATTCGATCAAAAGCCAAACAGATGCTTACGATAATGCGCGCAAAATGTCGGTGATTTGTCCGTCGATCTCCGCCAGCTCTTCGCTGATTGAAGAAAACGGATCCATCCCTCTCTAATATAAAATAATCCAATCCAATCCAATCCAATTTCCCAAACACCTTCAAATCATTACAAAACTCAGATCCTCAGAAATTTCCCAATCAAATCCAATCAGCTTCGAACCGCTGACTAAATCAAACCGAATGTTAAAACAAAGAATCAAATCGCATTCAGACAGCTTCCAAGAACAGTCGAATCAAAAATTAGAAATGCGGCGGTGGGATCCGGGGCAATGTGGGCTGCGACGGGGATCGAGGACACAAAACGATTGAATAGATAGGTAAATTTCAATTGGATTTGAGTTCCTACTGATTGGAAATTAGGGTTTTTACCTGGTTGAAATTTGGGTTCTTCGATTTGACTCGGAGCAGACCAGAGACAGAAAGCTTAGCTGTTTCCGAACAGAAACAAAAAACGAACAAGAGCGCGCAAATCGAGGGACCTCCAACTGAGCACCAAATGCGCCAAGTTTTTTAAATGATCACGTGTAATGCACGTGCCTTTCCCATCCACTGAATAAAATGGAGGACAAAAATGGGTCATCTTCAGATTCCTTCCATTAAATCTATCAATTTGAGTCTTTGAAATTTAATCTAACGGTTAAAAACAGGGGTCACTTTTAAAATTTCAAATATCCAGATTGATGGATTTAGTGAAAGGGATTCGAAGAGGATCCCTTTCCATGGAGGACAACCTGCAATCACAGGTGGTCGGTTGCAAGGATATTAAGGTGGAAAATAAGAAATTCTAAGCATATGAACTTATACATTTTTTTCAATTTGTAAAAATAGAAAGTTGGAGATAGCGGTGGTACATAAGGAAGGGCTATAAAATTTTAATTTCTAGTACTTTTCTAATTCTAAAAAAGAATTTTGATGTTTGTAAAAAGAATAATGGATAATGCTTGATTTTCCTTTTAGATAATAAATATATTTTACCACTTTTAGATAATTTGTCTTTCAGTAAAAAAATTGTAGTCAGTGAGCGCAAAAGAAACAAATGTGAAAAAAAGGAATGAGGTTCATTTTCCCCCTTATTCCATTTAGTTGTGCATTGTGTGTAGAAGTTTCTACTCGAAAAATTATCACATGTAACAATAACACAACAAGTCTTATTGGTTGACATTGCATTTTAAAGCTCACAAATATTAAATGTATAACGAATTTATAGCATCGAATGAGAATCATCCTCAAGTGTTTTTTTATGTTATGGTGAAAATCAAGCACCTTTATGATCCTCTTCACTCGAATTCGAAACTTCTCACCCTCTTTCCCACTCAGAATTCCACCTAACTAGTACAGAAAAAGTGATTGAGAAATGACTAAAATGACAAGGAAAATGATTTTCACTAAGAAGAAGGCCCATTGGAACAAGGTTCATTAAATGGAAGTAAGGGAAAAAAAGTATGGCCCAACCCGAATAAAAACCCGGGGGCCTAACCCGGCACCGCCGACATTCTTTCCTATATGTTTACAAACTACAAAACGCTTCGTTTTCTTTGTTCTGCCTCATTAGTTCGGAAACAGCTAGCTTCTCTGTCTGGTCCGAGTCAATTCGAAGAACGAAAATTCAACCAGGTAAAAACCCTAATTTCCAATCAATTAGGAAGTCGAATTCATTTATTTACCCATGTATTCAATCGATTGTTCGTGCCAATTTTTGTACTTTTAAAATTATTGAATTCTAGAAACAAATCCCGATTTTGTTTAGGTTTACGTTTGGATGCTGAGAAAAAAATCCTGATAGAAATTCAAAATTTTGTTCGAAGAATTGGGGAAATTAAGATGGGATTGTTAACCATCTGGTTACTTTATATAATCTTTCATGAATTTGTTTGATTGGTTGCTGAGAAAAGCATGAAAACGAAGAGAAATTGAAATTTTGGGTTTCATTAACTCGAATTTGGGTTCGGTTTTTATTGGGTGTTTTGCTAGAATCATTCCGCATCATCGGCTTTGTTTTTGTCGTTCCACCACTAGGAAAAGAGCACCATTGTCGAATTGGTGTGTGTTTTTTATTTATAGGAAATGAACTTGAACTTGAATTTGAATACTCTCTTTCCCGTTTATACGTACGAACGTAGTCACTGTATTTTGATGTGCTCGTTGCACTCAGATGTATGTGATGAGCATTCTGCGAGTGTACGAAGTCATTGCAGGCTTGTGGATGATTGTTGGATGTTGTGCTTATTGTTTGGTTATCAGGTGTTGTAAAGACAGTTAGAAGACATGACGACGGCTGCTCGACCCACGTGGGCACCTGCGAAAGGTGGTGATGAACAAGGTGGTACTCGGATTTTTGGACCATCACAGAAATACTCATCCAGGGATATGGCTGCCCATACATCTCTAAAGCCCAGGTAGATTTGTCATTGTTACTGATTCTTATGCGTGTTAAACATTTTTAGAGTGCATCATGTACAATGCAACTCTGCATGTGTTTATACCTCTTTTTCCCCTCCAAATTTCCGTTGTTCTGTTTATCTTTCTGGTTATGGTAATATGTGAGTGGGTTTTCCTGGGATTCTAATTTTGGACTTTGCCTTTCTTGGTATGCGTGTATACAGAAAGCCGGGGCAAGACACCCAGGATGAGTTGCAAAAGAAGAACCTCCGGGAGGAACTGGAAGAGAGCGAAAGAAAGCATTATTCATCAAAGGATAAATCTTATAGTTGTATGATATCTTCCTCAGATTTTTTACAAGCACTTGGGGCGGGTTGACTAGTTCTTTTTTTTCTATTTCTCGAGTCTATAGGGGATGTGATGTTATTTCCTCTTTGTTTCTAATTGATATGTGCATTGTGCAGATGACAGAGATCGCAGGAGGGGAAACCAGCTGTTGTTGGAAGGTGTATATTCTAAATCTTATATTTTACATTTTAAGGTAGCAAGTTGATAAATAAGTAATGCTCAATTACTAACTAAAAATATTTTTGCTCATAGGGGGCAGAAGGGACACTGAAATTGTGCCGCGTAATATAGATGCTGATGATTCTGACGTGGAAGCTCAAAGTGATGATGAAAGGTCAGTATTCTTTGCAGATATATTCGAATCCAAATGTATAAATAGTTTCAGTCAAGTGCTAGCGTAGCTTTGATGTTGAATTATTAAAGTTCTATCAAATCTTCTGATGCAAGACATGCTTGGATATATAAAATATAACTCTAATGGTTTTGTGAATTTAAGCAAGAAGAATTGTTTATAAGGCATTATGCATTGACTAGATGAACAGTTATGTGTTCCAGTTTTTTTTTTCATGGTTGCGATGGGCTTTATTAGCTTAACTCCAAACTGGAGAACAATGCACAGAATTTCATGGTTTATTACAATCACTCATGACTTGTCTGCTTACAGTTTAGTTTGGACTTTTCTCAGTAAATATTACATCCATTTATGGTAGGGGTTCGTTTGTGTAGTTATGTAACTTCATGGTTGCCGACTTTCCATTTGAAACGATAACAATATCGGCATCTCAAAAATAGATACTTACAGACTAATAACAAGCCTTTAATTTGTTGGTAGTAATTTTACCTTTGCTTGTATAGTTCAACCCATTTCTTGAGGTGTAATGATATTACTACGTGTTTCCCTAATATATGTGGAACAATTACTTTGATTATAGTGGTGAAGATGACGATGACGAGGAGGATGACATGGAAGCTCTACTGGCTGAGCTTGAACAAATAAAGAAGGAAAAAGCAGAGGAGAAGTTACGGAAGGTGAGCTTTCAATGAAGTGATGTGACGGAATTATCAATTGCTTTGATATCACTGAATATAACAAAAATTGTACTTTATGCTTCCACAGGAACGACTAGAGAGGGAGGAAGAGCTTAAAGTCAAGGAAGCAGAGCTTCTCCGAGGAAACCCATTGCTTAATGGTGCAGCACCCGCATCGTTTAGTGTGAAAAGAAGGTTAGTCAAGATTCTACTCCTAGCTTGTTCTGTGATCAAGTTAGGATTTTCCAGTGGTTCCATTCGGTCACTTCTCTAATAGCTCTCTTCTTTGTGGATCTTTTGGCGCAGATGGGATGACGATGTGGTGTTCAAGAACCAGGCCCGTGGTGAAACCAAGACTCCTAAGCGCTTCATCAATGATACCGTCAGGAGTGACTTTCACCGCAAATTCCTGCAGAAATACATGAAGTAAGACCTTGAAATCAATCGCTCTCTTGACATGTAACCCTGAAGTATCGAAGACCAAAGAAACTTTTCGTCTTTAACAGTTGTATGTACTGTAATGCTGGAATTGAATGCACATTAAAGATGCAAGCTGGATCTTGAGATTGAGTGTTACCTGCTTATGAATTTCTTGAATTTGGTAATGCGATTGTTTATACTCGCTTCTATTTGTTTGTATATCTCTGTTTACTTAATTGCTTTTACGAAACAGTGTCCCTTAAGGACGCGTTTATGAGTTTTGAGGTCCCGAAAGTACTGATAAGCACGAGGGCTCGAGTTTATGAGTTTTGATTCACCAGGGATGAAATGAATGGTTTATAAAACAGCACCAATCAGTGATTTAAAGAAAGCTCAACAGCAAAAGATATCATCGACCCGACGAATCCGGTATTAGGGTTACTGTACAGAAGGATAAAATCTACAAAATTTCATTCCATTGTCAGCAATTGATAGGATACATATACAGAAACCAATCTGACAGAGAAATACAAATGAACTCATAAATATACAGGAAAAAAAAAAAATTAACTCACAACAGCCTGCCTCGGATGGCATATATTAAGATACAATGAATAATGTGCTTGCACACTTCGGAGTAAGCTGCCAACAAATAAATAGAAACTGCGGAAAGACGGGCAAACATGCTTTCTACTCGGCTTTATCCTTGGGTTCGTCCAGAACAAATTCCACATACAAATCCTTAATCGCAATCACAACCGTTGTTATGAGCGGACCCATAATTGCACCCTGCAAACAATACAGTCCAACATTCATCGGGAGCACGTTACGAAGTGAATGGATGTATCGACAACTGAAAATGGACTAGGTGTCATCACGTAATGGTCAAGGATGACAAAGTTGAAAAGGCTATGTGATCTGGCTAAATATATGAACCTTAACCTATCTGGTTATCAACATTGCGTGAATCTCCCCAGAGTAATGAAGATTGTTTCAAAATTTTTGCTCCAGAATGATTAACATAAGTTTTTGATTTGTCGAAACTGGAAAGAGAATTTCTTGCTCGAATCCAGTTAAAAAAACATGCGGGTTTGAAACTAGCTAAACACTTCAATTGGCTTATTTTGTAAAGTAAAACCAAAGTCATCATCCATAGTATATTTACCTCGAATGCGGATGGGAACAAAGTCATTCCACCGATGATGCTGAGTCCGGTAAGATATTGACTATGGCCAGGTATGTCGTCCTGAATTCCAGACGCTCCGTAATCCATAAGCACGAGATGAATAACGGACAAGGTGATGGCTACTATATATCTACCTTCCAGCACCAGTTGAAGAGCTGCAGGGATAGTTGCAAACCACGATGGAAAGATTGGTAGCACAGAACTGAGGATTGCAAGAATGGTGGACGTGTACAGGAAATGTATTTTGAACAGCGTCAATAAAAGCCATGTGAGACATCCCTGAAAAATTGCAATCTCGGCTGTAGCCAAAAGAACACCGGATATAGCATTATCAAGAACTTCAACACATCTAACCCTCGCGGACTTTGAAATTGGAAGCATACTCATTGCTTGTTCAGTCACTCCGCCAGATTCGGATGTGATCAGATAATACAATACCCAGATGAACACCATTAACTGAGACACAAAATTGAAAACCTCAGCTGCTCCAGAAACAATGGAACTACCGATAGAGAACATGAGTTTTGCGCTGCCTCCAAGGACTGATGTACTGCTAGCAAGTATGCGCTGTGATACATCCATACCTCGCATGGCAAACCCTTTTGCCTTCTCGACTAAATCCTCTCTGGTGATTACCAATTCCCTAACAATTGCATCAACCTCTGTGTACATAAGTCCCCATTCCCTCTTACTAACCCGATCCCTCAAACTCACAAGTTTCTCTGTGTACTGAGACGGGCTAGCTAAAGCTATTGAAGGCTTGGAAGAATTAGCCGACTGTCTTACTACAAAATGCTTAATTCCAGTTGCCAATTCTGTCATATTATACTGCAACGCCAAACCATCTAGCTGGTCCGACACAGTTTCATAAAACTTCAAAGTGTACCTATCCACCATTCCAGCCACATCATTCTCCTCCATCCAATGCTTAACGCCAATCTTCTCTGTGTAATTGCTCTCTTCCACATGTAACTTCAACGAAATCACTGCATCTTTGCTCTCGATCCCAATCTTATACGAAAAAAACATGACACCAACGAAAAACCCTAAAATCATAGCAAACATCAACCCAATTGCAACGATGGTCTCCAACCTTATCAATATCCTTCTTGTGAAGAACGCACTATCGGGCTGCGGCGAAAGCTACTGCATCTCAAAGAGGAAACAGTTGACATTGTCGACTCCACGACTTTGGCACTAAACATAAAACCTAGTCCAAGAATTGCCAGAGAGGCAACACCACCAAATTTTTCATAAGCAAGTATAAGTATCCAAAACGACACCAACCACCTCAACAACTTAGAGAACTCACTCCGGTGCCTCCTCCTGTAGTCAGATTTCGGCTTTCGGAGAAAAACCCGAAAGCAAACCTCCCTAATTTCGACAATGGTACCTACGAAAACCCCAAATATGGCCACGGGAACAGCCAGAACAGTTTCAGTGAGGCCAAGCCTCAAGGGCTCCGACCAAAACCCCACAAGGGTTTGCTGTATTCCTCTCAGAGGGATCGAGCAGAGCACCGCCCACTGAATTGGCCGCAAGTATTCCTCTAGCAGCTTACCCACGGCGTAAAATATGAAAATTGTAAAGGCCAGGCCTGCCTGGGCCATGGTTATGTAGAGGGCTAACCTTACCTGGGGATCGTCGGAGATGGGGGTTTTCTGTGCTGGGTCGGCAGATTTTGGCGGGTCCTTGGGCGGCGGCGCCTGGGGTTTGGGCGCCTGGGGCTCTGGGGTTGAGGATTTACGGATTGAGGCTGATCGGAACATGTCTTGCCAAGCAGGGTTTGCTGAGGGGGGTTCGGAGCTTGGGTCTGAGTAGAGGACTAAAGCCATCTTTTTAGAGAGAGAACTGAAAGAGAGGGTAAAGTTTGAATCTTTGAAGCTCTAAAATGTTGGGTTTTTTGTATTGTGTTGGTGGGTTGGATTGGAGTGCAAAAAAGCAGAGCTCAGAGAGAACAACTTCTTAAGGTGGGGAATTATTGGACAGTTGAGTGGATGAGAGAGAGGAGAGGGAGAGAGAGGAGAGAGAGAGTTCAGGTGGGTAGGGGAGGATGAAATGGTGGTCCATTGACCATAAAGTTTGAAAAGGAGGAGGGCGAACTGGAAGAAGATGAGTGACAGTGTCAGTCTGTGTTGTTTTTTCGTAGTTTGTGGCGGGCCTGTCAAAGTGGCTGACTAAAAAAGTACAGTTGTTGAAAAACACAAGACAGAGCTATCATAAAATATAAACTCAAATCACCGTCCTAGATTTTTTTAATCTAATTGTATATTTAATCCAAGGGTTAGAAATTGATCATCGATTCATAACTGATATGAGTTAAAGGACAATATTGTCCATACAACACTAGATAATTAAGAGGAGGACTTTTTTGCGACATAAATGTCAAATGATATTTCAAACTAATCATGTACTGTTATGCAAGTGAGTAAAATGTATAACATTAAATTTAGTATACTACTACAATAACATTCTTGTTATAGGTAAGTGTCTTTCACAACATTGCCAATGAGGAGAGAGCTCAAGCTAGAGACACTATTTAATACACCACATCGCAGTAGAAGTTTTTCTGCACACATCAATAATTTTTCTAATACTGAGGAGGTGAGGAATCAAACATAAAGATCGAGTGCAAAGTTAAATATTTTTAATATTTGAGCTATATGTCTCTTACGATTATAACGACAAATCAAATCGGATATCAGTTTAGTCAAATTATTATACTAATTTGAAGTTGATTTGCTCAAAATATATAAGAGAAATTTTATTGAACCCATATAGCCTCTTTTTACACCCAACTTAAACTTTAAATGTTAATTGTCTTTTTTACCCTAGTATATAATTACTATCAAGTACAAGATGAATTTAACAATACAACTAAAATTTATCAATAAACCCAAACAAACAGCAAAGTGCAAACAAATCAACAACAGCAGCAATGGGAGATGCCATAGTGCTGAGATCGTCCAGGAGAGATGTTGTAGTGCTGAGGTCAAACAAATCAAATGACATGCAGAAGAGGATTCTATGGCTCGTTCCTTTGTCTCCTCATGGACTTGTGCTAGTATATTTCCTATTATATATCGGGCGGAACAACCATGAATTGTTTAAGTTGAAAATGTCGAGGGCTTGGAAATCTTGGGGCAGTTGGAGATTTGAAGAGAATAATTATCTCATATATGATATATCCTCCTAAGTCCAACCTTTATTTTCATCCATGCATACATGCGGTAAATCAAATAAAAGATATGAAATTTCATCCAACAAAATACATCCTAAAGATAAAATATTCATCCCTAAAAATAGTTGGTTAAATCCTGTACTCAATTGATAGATAGTCACACCAGAGGGAGGACTTCAACTTAAACCAAAGCGGGAAGAAAAATAAGAATAAAGAAACAATAGCATTTAGAATTTAGATTTAGACCATTTGAAACAAACAAAAAAACCCTTAAACTAGTGCAACAAGCTCTTTTGCAATATGATTGTAAGGACTTCTCTTTGCAAATTTTTGGGTTTTTATTTCTAAATGAGTGTACGGATAAATCTACAAATTGAATTGGATTTTGTAAGGGTAATTTAAGTAGTAAATATGGGTTTCAATAGATATTGATAGTTTAATTAAAATTAATATGAGTGAAAAAAGTAAGTTATATGGGTTTAAATAAAATTTCCCAGTATATAAACCATCTTACAATGGCAGCTCCAAGAAAATAGCCGGCTATCTCATTAAACAGCACATCCACAAACTGATGAACACATAAAGACAGCATAGAAGTATACGACATTGAAATCAATCGCTCTCTTGAGATGTAACCCTGAAGAATCGAAGACCAAAGAAACTTTTCGTCTTTAACAGTTGTATGTACTGTAATGTTGAGATTGAATGTTACCTGCTTATGAATTTCTTGAATTTGGTAATGCGATTGTTTATACTCGCTTCTATTTGTTTGTATATCTCTGTTTACTTGATCGCTTTTACGAAACAGTGTCCCTAAGGACGCGTTTATGAGTTTTGAGGTCCAGAAAGTACTGATAAACACGAGGGCTCGAGTTTATGAGTTTTGATGCGCCAGGGATGAGATGAATGGTTTATAAAACAGCACCAATCAGGCCCCCATCTTCGTTGGTTCACGTTTTAAACAAGGATGGTCTTCCCTGTCCGCATTGATTTGTTGGGGTGGTGTTTGGAGTGACGCTCAACTTGGTTGACGCGTCTTCTGGTTGTATCCCCTTTCCTCGCTGTCGTTTTCGTTCTGCCTTCCCCTTGGTGTTTGCCTCTTTGTAGGCTTTCTTGTACTTTTGGCTTCTTGGTCTTGGAATGTTATTCCTAGTTTCCACAAAAAAAAAAAATAAATAAATAAAAAAGCTCAACAGCAAAGGATATCATCGACCCGACGATACTGGTATTAGATAAAATCTACAAAATTTCATTCCATTGCCAGCAATTGATAGGATACATATACAGAAACCAATCCGATAGAGATGAACTCATAAATATACAGAAAATACATATGAAAAAGAAAAAAAAAATTAACTCACAACAGCCTGCCTCAGATGGCATAAATTAAGATACAATGAATAATGTGCTTGCATACTTCAGAGTAAGCTGCCAACAAATAAATAGAAACTGCGGGAAAAGGAGCAAACATGCTTTCTACTCGGCTTTATCCTTGGTTTCGTCCAGAACAAATTCCACGTACAAATCCTTAATAGCAATCACGACCGTTGTTATGAGCGGACCCATAATTGCACCCTGCAAACAATACAGTCCAACATTCATCGGGAGCATGTTAAGAAGTGAATGGATGTATCGACAACAGAAAATGGACTAGGTATCGACAACAGAAATGGACTAGGTATCATCACGTAATGGTCAAGGATGAGAAAGTTGAAAAGGTTATGTGATCTGGCTAAATATATGAACCTTTAACCTATCTGGTTATCAACATTGCATGAATCTCCCCAGTGTAATGAAGATTGTTTACCTAAGTAATGAAGATTGTTTCAAAATTTTTGTTCCAGAATGATGAACTTAAGTTTTTGATTTGTCGAAACTGGAAAGAGAATTTCTTCCTCAAATCCAGTTAAAAAAACGTGTAAGTTTGAAACTAGCTAAACACTTCAATTTGCGTATTTGTAAAGTAAAACTCGAAACTAGCTAAACACTTAAATTGGTTTATTTTGTAAAAGTAAACCCAAAGTCATCATCCAGAGTATATTTACCTCAAATGCGGATGGGAACAAAGTCATTCCACCGATGATGCTGAGTCCGGTAAGATATTGACTATGGCCCCCAGGTATGTCCTCCTGAATTTCAGACGCTCCGTAATCCATAAGCACGAGATGAATAACGGACAAGGTGATGGCTACTATATATCTACCTTCCAGCACCAGTTGAAGAGCTGCAGGGATAGTTGCAAACCACGATGGAAAGATTGGTAGCACAGAACTGAGGATTGCAAGAATGGTGGACGTGTACAAGAAATGTATTTTGAATAGCGTCAATAAAAGCCATGTGAGACATCCCTGAAAAATTGCAATCTCGGCTGTAGCCAAAAGAACACCGGATATAGCATTATCAAGAACTTCAACACATCTAACCCTCGCGGACTTTGAAATTGGAAGCATACTCATTGCTTGTTCAGTCACTCCGCCAGATTTGGATGTGATCAGATAATACAATACCCAGAAGAACACCATTAACTGAGACACAAAATTGAAAACCTCAGCTGCTCCAGAAACAATGGAACTACCGATAGAGAACATGAATTTTGCGCTGCCTCCAAGGACTGATGTACTGCTAGCAAGTATGCGCTGTGATACATCCATACCTCGCATGGCAAACCCTTTTGCCTTCTCAACTAAATCCTCTCTGGTGATTACCAATTCCCTAACAATTGCATCAACCTCTGTGTACATAAGTCCCCATTCCCTCTTACTAATCCGATCCCTCAAACTCACAAGTTTCTCTGTGTACTGAGACGGGCTAGCTAAAGCTGTTGAAGGCTCGGAAGAATTAGCAGACTGTCTTACTACAAAATGCTTAATTCCAGTTGCCAATTCTGTCATATTATAATGCAACGCCAAACTATCTAGCTGGTCCGACACAGTTTCATAAAACTTCGAAGTGTACCTATCCACCATTCCAGGCACATCATTCTCCTCCATCCACTGCTTAACGCCAATCTTCTCCGTGTAATTGCTCTCTTCCACATGTAACTTCAACGAAATCACTGCATCTTTGCTCTCGATCCCAATCTTATATGAAAAAAAGGTGACACCAACCAAAAACCCTAAAATCATAGCAAACATCAACCCAATTGCAACGATGGTCTCCAACCTTATCAATATCCTTCTGGTGAAAAACGCACTAATCGGGCTACGGCGAAAGCTACTGCATCTCAAGGAGGAAACAGTTGACATTGTCGACTCCACGCCTTTGGCACTAAACATAAAGCCTAGTCCAAGAATTGCCAGAGAAGCAACACCACCAATTTTCTCATAAGCAAGTATAAGTATCCAAAACGACACCAACCACCTCAACAACTTAGAGAACTCACTCCGGTGCCTCCTCCTGTAGTCAGATTTCGGCTTTCGGAGAAAAACCCGAAAGCAAACCTCCCTAATTTCGATAAGGGTACCTACGAAAACCCGAAAAATGGCCACCGGAACTGCCAGAACAGTTTCAGTGAGGCCAAGCCTCAAGGGCTCCGACCAAAACCCCACAAGGGTTTGCTGTATTCCTCTCAGAGGGATCGAGCAGAGCACCGCCCATTGAATTGGCCGCAAGTATTCCTCTAACAGCTTGCCGACGGCGTAAAATATGAATATAGTAAAGGCGAGGCCGGCGTGGGCCATGGTTATGTAGAGGGCTAATCGTACCTGGGGATCGCCGGAGATGGGGGTTTTCTGATCTGGGTCGGCGGATTTTGGCGGGCCCTTGGGCGGCCGTGCCTGGGGTTCGGACGCCTGGGGCTCTGGGGTGAGGATTTTCGGATTGAGGCTGATCGGAACATGTCTTGCCAAGCAGGGTTTGCTGAGGGGGGTTCGGAGCTTGGGTCTGAGTAGGCAACTAAAGCCATCGTTTTAGAGAGAGAAAGTCAGAGAGAGAGGATAAAGTTTGAATCTTTGAAGCTCTAAAATGTTGGGTTTTTTGTTTTGTGTTGGTGGGCTGGATTGGAGTGCAGAAAAACAGAGCTCAGAGAGAATAAGAACTTCGGGTGGGGAATTTTTGGGCAGTTGAGTGGATGAGAGAGAGAGAGAGAGAGAGAGGAGAGGGAGAGAGAGGAGAGGGAGAGCTCAGGTGGGGTGTGGGAGGATGAAATGGTGGGGTATTGACCATAAACTGTGTGGAAGGGGAGAACTGGAGGAGGATGATGTGTGACAGTGTCAGTCTGTGTTGTTCTTATAGTTTGTGGAGGGCCTGTCAAAGAGGCCGACTAAAAAGAGTAAAGTTGTATAACTCAAATCACCATCCTAGATTTTTTTAATCTAATTGTAGATTAATCCAAGGGTTAGAAATTGATCATGGATTCCTAACTGACATGAGGTTAAGGTCAATTTTGTCGAGAGAAGAGGACTTTTATACGACAGAAATATCATTGTAATGGTATTTCAAACCAATCACGCACTGTTACGTGAAGAGGTAAAAATTCATAACACTAAAGTTGGAATACCACTACAATAACATTTTTGTATATAGGGAAGTGTCTCTCACAACATTGTCGATGAGGAGAGAGCTCTAAGCTAGAGACACTATTTTATACAACACATCAGTTTCTCTCCACATATCAATAATTGTTCTAATATTGGAGAGGTGAGAAATCCAACATATGGCTCGAGTGCAAGGTTAAATATTTTTAATATTTGAATTATAAGTCTCTTATTATTATAACGATAAATTAAATAGGATATCCGTTTGGTCAAATTATTGTACTAATTAGAAGTTGATTTGCTCAAAATATATAAACCATATTGCAATGGCAGCCCCAAGAAAATGACCGGCTATCTCATTAAACAACACATCCATAAAATGATGAATACATAAAGACAAAATGGAAGTATATGACATTGGTGACTATCTCACAAATCAATGGAACTAATAGGCAAAATATAACTTGTGGTTACAATGCATGAGAAATTCGATTTTGAGGTCTCTTTTTATAGCTGGGATTTCGTTATTTGGTTTTGGTTGCGTCAAAAAAAGGGGAAGGTAAATTAATTCAATTAATACTCAGAGATTCCATTAATCAAACACCAAAGGTTCATCTTTGAACCTTTGCAATTGGGAAAAAGGTAGATTCTTGGGTTCCATGACGAGAAATATAGAAAGATGGAGATATATCTCTGGAATTTACACTGTTACATATTGCTTATGCTAATTCTTCTACGAAGGCAAAAGTAGGCACAAATTCTGTAACCTATTGCCATGGCCAGCAAAATCCAGACTTCATTCATGTCACCATCCAAGTTCACCGTGTCAAATGAAGGAGAGCTCTGCAGCTTCCTACACCCTCCTTTGCTTTCACACTCATAGAACTTGTCTCCAGAATACTGCACTTTCAGCAGCAGCCGGAACCCGTAGTACATAAACGACAAGTACTTCAACCATTGGATAAATTTCGGTATATGCTGCAACCATAACAAACATGTAGCGTCGCGTGACATGTTCAAATATATGGACATACAGTTGTTAAATAAAGAAACATGTATATATGTAGTTAATTAGAGCTTCAACCACTGCATAAATTTTTGTCTGATGTTCATGCAAGAGGCTATGTAGTAGGTTACTTGTAGTGCAAGCGAGTTGGCAGAAGTTAAAAGTTTGCCCTTGAAGTGCCAAACGTAGAGACCAGATTGACAGATTAAAACCACGGTGGATGTGATTTCGGGACAAAACACAATGACGGCCCGAAAATGCAGTTCATCGAAATTAGGTTAAGTTGATTTAGATTACCTGCACATAGTAGCCTCCTGTGAGTAGAAACATCATTAGCACCAGAGAGGCAACCATTCCAGCTCTTCTAATACTCAAAACTAGAGATCCAAACAGTTCTCCTGCCCCCTAAATCGGAAATAATTAAACCAGAATTAAATAACCAACTAGCTTTTAGTCTACTGCTACCTATCTCCGCAATGAAATAACTTAATTTTGTTGGATATTTTGACTTACTTGGCTTGTGACAGCTACCAACAATATGGCAAACAATGTGTAGAAGAAACAAGGAACTGTTCGTATAAAGCCGGCCATGAAATACACAATGGTCATGAAAAATGTTGGATACAACACATGTGCCGTCATGTCACACAAAGTGCTGCAAACATAGTACACACTCAATCTATACATGTCTGCTTTCCTTTCTTTCACCAAGAAGACCTTTTCGAACGGAAACACATATACTGCCCCGAAAATTGATGAAGACGTCCAGAAAATGCAGATGTAAAACAGTAAGCCAACCTGCACAAATGTTTTACATATTGAGAGGTTTGTATGTTTTTCAAATTTCTTTTGTGACCAGGATCATGGAGAATTTTACCTGATCTCGGAGTTGAGCCTCGGTGTCAGTATTCGATTTCCACCAAAGAAGACCTAATAAGATTGCAACTCCGACAGCTTGAATTAGCCTTAGCTTATCAAAGTAATCCCTGCACCTCTCTCTATATGTTCTCTTGAACAATATGGTGAACTGTTCCCACCAAGTGATTGTCCAATCTTTCTTCGCCTGAATAGCCACTCGTAGATGTTCGGGTGTTTTCGTTGCTCGATGATTCTCTTCCTTTTCTTTCGTCTCCAGCAGTGCTTTGTACTTGAGTTGTAGGTACTATAATGAACATAGAACAAATGTTGAGAGGAAGATACATAGATTTTAGGTACGTGAAAGTTTGAAGTAGTAGTTATCATACCTTGACAACAGCCTTTTCAGAGTCAAGAGTCCCTTGCTCTTGAGGCACCAAGAGATCTTCAGGAACACTGATGCCATTAACTTGTCCAGTGGCTAAATCAATTAAGAACTCTGCAGGATTCATGGGAATTTCCGGGATGAATCTCAGAGACGAAAAATACTCCAAAGACTCTCCTGCCATTCCATAGTACACAGGGTAGCCTTCTGATATTAGCAAAAGTTTGTCAAATGTGTGAAACATTCTGCTAGATGGCTGGTGGATTGTTGTGATTATTGTCCTTCCACCCTATAAACCGCCAAAAGCGACTTTTAGCACTTCTTCCAAAGTTCAAATATTCATAAGGATCATTATGTCACAGTGGACAAGGAATTTCCATGTAAGGGGGATGCCACTATGACAGTATTTCAAGTCAATCACACATTGTCACGTAGGAAAGTCAAAACCCAAAAGGCAAAGCAGTGCGTGATTGGCTCCCAGATTTGGGTTATTTTTTCATCACAATGGTATATGAAAATAAACTTAAACTATGTTACCTTTGCAAGTCCTTGAAGAACCAGAAGAAGTCTATTTGCTGAGGTCGAATCAAGGCCGGAAGTCGGTTCATCAAGCAACAACAATGAAGGATCAACAAGAACTTCATAACCTATGCTGGTTCTTTTCCTTTCTCCTCCTGATATGCCTTTGATAAATCCTCCACCTACTCTCGTGTGACGACATCTAAGATCATATGGGAGAGAAATTTAAAACAAAAGTAAAGTTCGGGGGTTCGCCAAAATTTCAGGCAGATATAATCTACCTTTCAAGACCAAGCTCCTTTACAATCATCTCCACCCTCGCATATTTTTCTTGTCGGGTCATGGTGCTTGGAAGCCGTAAAAATGCAGCGAAAACTAAGGTTTCTTCTACTGTCAATTGTGGGAACAGCACATCATCTTGTGTCACAAATCCAATCCTGTTGAGTTTAACCAAAAAAAAAAACCAAATCAAGATCACAACATTGGTACATCATCTATGTGTTTCGAACGAAAAATTTTATGCCGTGAGCAAATAGAGGAGATTCATAGAGTTGGCTAACCTCCTTTTCAGAGCTGGATTATATTGGATATCGTTGTAAGTTACTTTTCCCTTGACATTGTCTAGTAATCTTCCTCCTATCACTTTCAACAAAGTAGTTTTCCCACTGCCAGAAGGACCCATCAGAGCAAGAATTTCCCCTGGCCCTACGCTTCCTGTTATCCCCTTCAATATCTGCTTGTAGTTATGTTCCATGTTAAGCTGCGACGCTACTTTCGACACCATTGCCTTCACTGTGTTGCTCGAAGCTTTGCTGTTTCTCACCTTAAACTCCACATCTTCAAACTGCGTTGCAAAAACAGGCATATGAAAGATCATAAGCAACAGAAAAACAAGCACCATAGTTTTAACTGGACTAAAACGCGGTGCTAATTAATATTCGCACTCCAAAATAGTCATCATGTAGCCCTTCCACTCGTCTGCTTTTTATTAGGGAGAAGTGCAGTATGACTGTTTTGGAGTACTGATAACAATTCCGGTCTGATCTTAAAAAATCGAAAGAGCTAATTGCATGGACTTTGCTACCTTAAGAAAAATCGGAAGAGGGCCATCTCTGTTGGCATTAGAAGTCTTGTCTTCTACAATATCGATCTCCGTGTACCTATTTCTGAGGTAAGCTTGGGACATGAACTCTAGGTTGTGACCAAAGCCACTGCTCCCTGCAATCTGCATAGACCCCAATGTTGGGGGTGACATTGGAATGTCTTCAATCTCTTCTTCTCCCCTAATTTCCATGTTTTCGGACCACCGCGCCCACCCGGACCAAGCTGAGCTAGGTAGAAGTTCAAACTGTGTTTTTATGGAAGGTGAATCAACTGTAACAAACCAAAAGCTTGCCTATATAGTTTCGAGGCAGGGTGTTGTTTGGTGAGCCACATGCTTTCAGTGCTTAGTTTTTGGACATGACAAGCTTGCTTTATTTCTTACTCTTATTGCAACCAATATGAAATTTTGCTTTGGTAAACATACCAAGAACATGACTAGGAATTAGCTCTTTGTGGCACACCGTCTTTTGGGAGGGGATTTTATTGCATGATTTATTACCTGACGAGAGATTAAAAAAAAGATATACAACCGTGTTATAAGTAAGTAAAAGTTAGAGAGATAATATTTTTTAGGGATAAGAACGAAGCGGGTGCAATGTATCAAACTGTTTATTTTTATAAAATGATTGTAGGTAAAGAGAGGAAGGAAGAGATTGATATTATTGTTTTTACTTTTTTTCTTTTCTGTGTATTGTGATGATACACAGAATGTTTCTTATATAGAGTCATATCTGTGAAGAATCATAAAAGTGAAATGAGTGTTTTTTGAAAAACATCATACAACAACAACAATGCTACTATTCTTAAGTCATCCTCACCTTTCATCTTTGACTAAAACATATGAGCATTCACACCTATAACTTTTACAACTAACCGGTTGTATTTTAGATTTTGCCATGGTATAGGAGAAACGTCATTTCCTTCTCAGGAATCTAACGTTCTAGTCCCTTGTATTGCTTAATTTCTCCCATTTGAACTATGATTTTCTGATTTGTTCCTTCTATAATCATACCCTAGACCAAATAGATATACACGTCCTTTATAATTTCCTTTCAAAAAGAGATCAATTGACGGCTTCGTCATGACATTCTACTTTTTCGGAAGATCGAAAAAACTTACAGAAGAGTGGACAAGCATTCACGAAAGACTCACTATACTATGTCAACTTATTCAAATTATGAAGTGTGAATCACACGATTGTTGACAGCGAAGGCTGAAAAAATGCTTCTATCCGAACCCCTAGAAAAGTGAATTGTCATAACCTTTCGTGCCCTTTCTAAGAATAAAAAAAAGATATCAAATTCGACTCTCATTAATAAAGCGTTTGATACGACACTATTACGATGGACTTATTATGTGACATAGTCTAAATTCGTAAATTTTTTTTTTTTTAATTAAGAAAATACGAAGTTGCTTAGGAAACGACGCCGAATCAAACTTTTCGGGCCAAACGAACAGAACACCATAAAGAACATGTACAAAGAAGTCAAACAACCACTTAACACTGAAAACCCGAAATCCCAGAAAATCTCATCAGATTTTCCCTCGAAAATATCGGTGATGGAAGATTCGCGGGAAATACTGCTGAAGTCGTTGGAGAATTCCGGCGTCTGCCTCCCGGACGACGTGTCGTCTGTCAAGGACCTGACGCCGGCGACCTTGGTCTCGATCTGCGCCCAGTCTCTCAACCTCATCGGCAGGACCGCGCCGTTTCCCACCTCCCTCCCCGACTCCTCCGTCGGCGACCAGTTCAAGCTCTGTACCGACATCGCTTCCGGGATCAAGAGCCTCGGTTACCTCGCGGACCTCAGCTTCCATCAGGTAAGAATCGCATCGTTTGCTTGCCAAGTTTCGATTTTTAGGTTCCTTGTTTGGTGTTTGTTTCCCGAGAAAATGCGATAAAGTGGAAGAAAAACTAAAAGAACTGAATTGGATTGAATTGAATTGTGTTTATGAACTAGAAGCATATACTGACGTCATAATGTTTGTGTTATGGTATTTAGATGCAAAATTAACCATGAAATTCAGCCATGCTTTTCTTAAAAACTATACAAATGAAGTGACGCTGAACTATATATGTAAATTCGGGACCGGCATTTGGGATGTGGAGGCATGTTTGAATTCAATATGCAGTCTTGATTAATTTCCGGCATTTGGAACTGCCAGTATATGCAGTTGAGTGATTGTAATTGCTTCTTGTTTGAGTCAAAATTTGTGTGTGTTTTGTTTTGCTTCCGATTGTAGTTCTTGTCATTCTTGTGTGTGTTGCTTACGGCAGTTCTTGTTTCGTTGTTTGTTTCTTGAGAAAATGAGAGATTGTAAAGTAACAGAAATAAAGCATCCAGACTCTCGTTTATGACCATTGTGATTGAGTGAAATCATGTTTAACTTTGCGGTCTTGATTAAATTCTGGTTTTGGTTTATTTGTATGGGGACTGACTAACTGCCAGTATATTAATTTGAATCTATATGAAATATGTGATATTGTCTAATTTGTTTTAAGTTTTGTGTTTGTGTGCACGTTCTTTTTCTTCTGATTGTAGTTCATGTCATTCTTATTATTCTGAAATTATGCTTAGAAACAGACTATATGTGTTGCTTACGGCAGTTCTTGTATCCGTCTGAAGAGGACTCATACAAGTTAATAAGATTCTTGGTGGAGAGGCTTTCAGATTTGTCTGAAGTTGGTGAAAAAGCTGGTCCCAAGGGTGTCAGCGATAAAAGGGAAGTGAAAGAAGATGGCTTTCAAAGCAGTTTGGAGGACCACAAAACTCGTGATGAGGGACCAGATCTTAGTCATGAAAAATCTCGAACCAAATTGGACAAAGTCACATTGATCGGTGAAGTGCCTGAAATCGCTGTCAATGATGTGTGTAGCTCTAGCATGGAAGGATTCAACAAGGACAGACGAACTAATGTATTTAGCGGGAATCATTCGACTGAAAAAGTGCAAAATCAGGAGCAACTGCTCATGGAGGAGGTTAAAGCAAAAACTTCAGAACTAGAACACCTTGAAGAAGAGTTGAAATTGTTAAAAGAAGCAGCAGATATGGCATTTGATGTCCATCATTCTGTTGAATTTCACCTTGAGAAACTTAATGAGCAAGTAGATGTTCGAAAGCATCACCTTGGGGAGTTGATATCACAGTGGTAAGATGTAAATCTTTAAATTGTTCATGACGACTAAGTTGTATATCGGGACTAAAATCTACCTTTATAAAAACTTATAAATATTGGAAATGGTACTACCTTTGCCAGCATATTATGTATGTATTGTTTCATCTGTTACCAATGATTTTTCGCAGGGAAGCAGTCAGAAAGCCTTTGGAAGAGAAAATGAAAAGTCTTCAGGAGTCTGTATATGCAAACAACCCATACGCTCAGGAAAAGCTCCAAAAGCTGAAAGATTATGAACTGGAAAAAGAATCCATCTTATCTGAAATTCGGAAAAGGTATGTTTCGCAAAATTAAATAATTGCATTTTGGGTCATATTTGTATATGCTCCTGCTGTCTTCGGAACTTCTGTGATTCATGATAAAGTTTGGGAATCTTTACTTTTTAAAAAGTAACATATTTCTTTATTAAAGGTACAAGATGGAGGGGATATTTAGAACTTTCTTGTATAAATTGTAATAAAAGATTGCCCATTGTCTGTTTCATTGACTTACGAATCAGTTTCACAACTTCAGTTGCTTGCTTATCATTGATGTCTTGTCTTTCGGTAGGGAGGAGGAAATTTCTAAACTGTCTACGGATCTAGAGAAGCAGCCTAAACTGTCATCAAGAAGGTCCTACATTGAAAGGGTAAAGGAGATCACCAAGAACAGTCGGAAGCAAGAAGCTGACATAGAGCAGATCTTAAAAGACACCAGGGAGCTTCAGTTAGAGAGTAATTCTATTCAAGAACGTCTTCATCGAACGTATGCTGTTGTAGATGAAATGGTGTTCAGGTACGAAATTCATTTACCCATAAACCGTCTGTGCCTTAAAAGTACACAGTTAAGACATTGACAAGTCCATCCCGGTACTTATTGGCAGAGAAGCAAAGAAAGATGCAGTTGGGAGGCAGGCTTATAGGCTTCTCACTAGCATCCACGAGAGCTTCGAACAAATTCGTGAGAAAATCCTGGCAACCGATAGAACCCGACGAGAAGTGGGTGAGCATGAGAAGAAGCTAGCAGCCATGGCTTCGCGAAGCTTAAATGTAGACAAACTACAAGCCGATCTCGATGCCATTAGGAGGGAAAATGAGTACGTAGAGAAATGTCTGAGAGGATAAATAAGTGCACTCTTTGTAACTATAATCCTTTCTTTCAGTTTTGAATTTATACACAGTAATTACTTGATTGTATTCATTTATTAAGAGGAAGCATTGAAATATTTGTGCTAATTCTTCCAGCACAGTGACCTTACTAAGGGTTAGTTTGGGGTTGCTGAGTTGTGAAAAAAAAAAAAAAAAAAAAAAAGCGCTGTTTTAAGAAGAGGTAGAGCTGTTTTTAGCTTTTTGTTGTTTTGGATCCATGGTTTTTCATTTGCCAAACACGACTTTAACCCTAGCCTTTTTTTTTTTTTTTTTAATTTTTAATTTTTAAACAAACAATATTATTTACACGAGAATGGTAGGCTGTTTTTTGCTTTTTGTTGTTTTGGATCCATGGTTTTTCATTTGCCAAACACAACTTTAACCCTAGCCTTTTTTTTTTTTTTTTTAAACAAACAATATTATCTACACGAGAATGATAGGCTAAGTTTCATAATATATTAGCAATAATGTGGTTCAAATTCGTCTTTAGCAAGAATTGAACTTATGACCTTTCACTTACATATGAAGAGGAATATCATTAGACTCTAGTACTAAGTGGCGCCCTAGCTATTCTAAAAAGCTGATTTTGAAATAATTTCAGTAATGTCAAACCAACTCTAACTACAAGACAATGGGTCGTACATTAACCACTGTTTAGCACCCATTTAACAAGATTTGCTTGTAGGCTAATGACAAGATATTGTCCAACAAGGACTTCTATTTTTCTTCTTATAATCGAGTTTCAGCCCATTTAATCTTAAGCCTAAACTTTCCTCCCACTCACTTAAACATATTTAGTTGGATTGCTACCAACATATTCTAAATCTATCTATTACGCAAATCTCAAACTCATCTAAATTTTTAGTTTCGGTTAAAAGTTTGTAATTAGTTTTACGTATTTATTTTCCAAAATTTTGAATCTGCCCCAAAGCCGAGCCTAAATGTGAACCTAGCAAGTCCATGTCAAAAATGACCCCGCCCAATCTTAATTGAAAAAAGGAATAAAAAATTAGGCGAGAAACAATCATGCACTCAATTTTCACCAAGCACAATAGGTTTTGTGAAAGAATTAGGATCCTCCCCTCTCCACATTCTCTCCCCCTCCCTTCCCTCCTCTCCTTTCTCACATTCATCTTTTTCTTTCTCTCTCTGTAAAGAAGTTAACACCAGATGTTAACATGATTTAATCGTGACCGTTCAAATAAAAAGAGATTAAAAAAAAAAAAGAGAAGAAAATTTAAAGGGAAAAAAATCATACTCCTTCGCAAATGGGAGGGCAGAGAGCCCACAAGTAAGGTGGAGCGTCAAATTTGAAGATGGTGCTGCATTTGTTTGCTAACTAATGCTTTGGTAGTTGGGAAAGCAGAAGAAGTAGGGACAGTTGAACGTATAACTTGTTTCGTTGGAACTTCAACGTTAAGGATGCCACCATCTCACTTTTCCGTCTTTAGATCCATGTTGGCTCCAAAACATACAAGTGGTACGAATTGTGATGTTGGATAAATAACTCCCACAGCCTCTGTGAAATACCCCACAGGTAGTTGGATTAAAGATTCCATTTGGGATTGTTGTTGTTAGAAAGCACTTCAGAAAATGCTTATGTAATTTAGAAGAACTTTTAAGTTGTTATGCCAAAAATATTTTGAAGCGTTTTTAGTTGTCATAAAACACTTTTAGCTCTTTCGAGAAAAAACTTCAAGCAACTTCTAAGCTTGTTTTAGCATTAATCATTTGACAATCGTTGATTGACACGAACCTCACCCTATCTACAATAATTAACAGCTCACAATTACTTACACATGCGTGAATGACTGCATTCACCAAACGTTGTGATTTCCGAATTTGATATAGATTAATTTCCCTTCTAATGCGAAAGTTTGTCACTTGCATGAAAATTTTGGGTTAAGATGTCATGGTATCATATCCAGATAACGTGAAAGCTTCCCATCTATCCGAAAGATTGATATTTCGCTTAAAAGATACCCTTTTGTATGTATAATATAACGTAGCAGCAAATTAATTCTACCTAAACTCGCTTCTTTTATCAGTCAGATGATCATGACTTATAGGTCATGTTAATTAGTAGTTAAACCAAATTATTATTTATGTGAAAAAGTTGATGATTATAGGATGTGTCATCAAATTCAATGATATATTTGATAAATTTAAAAGTAAAATTAAAACTAAATAAATGGGACAGATCAGTAGCACAATGTTTATTTTACAGAACTTTTGACACACTTTTTTTGTAGAGCTCACTTCGTAAAATATTCCAACGACTCCGAACTGTTTATTTTTTAATCTTTCCTCAAAGATCATATCTACCAAAAATCATCCAAGTATGAAACCATATGATCGATGGATTGAGAGTTTAGGGTTTCGTTGTAGAACCGTATTTGTCCATTTTATTCACCACAAATAAATGTCTTAATGGTTTTGGATTTGTCTAATTTTTTACAAAAATAATATATGAATGGTGTTCTAAATGATAGATGACTCGGATCGTTAAAATACAGTACAAAGAATGCTCCACAAAAAAATTATATAAAAAATGTGGTGCCACGCTCTATTAAATAAATGATAAAGATCCAGCTAACGTATGCTCTAGTCCATGAGATTAGGAGCACTCCATGGCTTTCTAACTAATGAGAAGCGAGCACTTGGCGGGCACTCTAGGACATGTAATATTATGCATCTTGACCATTTCGTCATTATTTATACAAATCTCTCTCCCTATTGTTTCCTTTACTTCTCCGGAAACCTACATCATTTCGAATTCTCCGCCCGTCGATACTTATATGCTCCCCCACCTGTCCGTCTCGGAGCATGAGATCAAATCTTCTGCATACATACATTGCAACTGAGCAAAATGAAAAGCCTAACAAACTCATTTCTTTTTTCTTAAGCATCATTATTATTATATTAAATTATTTTGTTTTACGTGATCATATATCATTAAATTAGAAAGAAAAAACATTAGGTAGAAAAATATGAAGGCCAGTGTTTATAGGATTGAAGAACTCTAATGCAACTGGATTTTCCTCCTCTCCCACGTTTTTCGCAGAACCCTTTTCGTTTTCCGTGTGGAGAAACAATTCTGAAGGGTTGCTGATTATTTTTCTGGTGATAAATTTGATGGCTGCTGCATGATCCCACCATTTGGTATGGGGCTGTGGGATTCATTGGTGGGGAACGAAGTTAAGAAGTTCCTCAAACGAAAAGATAGTGATGCAGGAGAAGCAGGTTTGAAAAATCTAAATGCACATTATTCTCAGCTGCATCATAAATATATAAATATATATATATATATATATTTTATTTACATATTATATTCCTTTTGTGATCGGTTCTGTTTGCTAACGAAAGGCTTGGTGGAATGCCGAGTACAGTGGCATTCGAGTATTCATACAACCGATACCCTTTAGTGGGATACCGCTTGGTTTCTGTTTTTCTTTATGATTGGCTCTGTTTCTGGTGTGGCTATTGCTGCTTCAGTTTTTCATTCTTTTCTGATGCACATTGTTTACTGGGTTTTGTAGTATTTTTTTTTCCTTTAAATTATTCTTTCCTTCTTAATATATGTTGGTTAAATGCACTTTTTCATCTGTTTGTGCTGTAATTACAATGGTTTGTCCGGTTTTATTTAATATAATAATTTTCTGTTTATTTCAAGAAAAATGAACAATAGACGCTCCTTCCGACTCTCGCAAAGGGAGAGAGCCTTGTTGGCATTTGCCTTTTTATTTCAAGAGAAATAAATAATAGAAGAGTTTGATTGAATGCTTTGATTTGGATGAAAGTATTCAACAGGGCAACAAATTGTTCTTTGTGAGTACTGAAACAATGGGCAGGACTCACCAAGCAATATGTTATATCTTGATGTTTTCTTGTCAAATTAGTTAAATTGACAAAATTTCAAGTTCTTGTAGTTCTCTTCTCATATTACTGCAAATTATCAGGTCGAGCGCTCGAAGAACTCCGAGGCTCTATCTACAATGACCTCCGAACATCAGAAGGCGCCAAGCGCCAACAGCAGCGTTTTTGTGGTCCGGTTGTGGCTATGTCCTTCAATTTCACAGTCTCTGTGGGGATCATCCTTGCAAACAAACTAGTAAGATCCTTTTTTCAGTCACTATGCTTTGGCAATTAAGCAGGGTCAGCAGGCTTTCGTTCGGAAAGAGTTCCCAAATATTTGTGTTTGATAATCGATCTTATGATTAAGTTGCATCTCTCTGCTTGCAGATAATGGGGAGAGTTGGATTTAAGTTCCCAATCTTTCTCACATTGATCCATTATGTGACAGCATGGCTGCTTCTCGCCATTTTCAAGTCGCTCTCAATTCTTCCTGTTGCTCCTCCTTCGAGAACGACTCCTTTCACTTCTCTCTTCTCCTTAGGCGCGGTCATGGCTTTTGCATCCGGTCTTGCAAACACCAGCCTAAAACATAACAGGTTCTTTGTGAGCTTTCTTTCATCTTTTACAAAAATGGTAGTGATTTCACACTCCCGTTTTCTCCTTCTGCACTCCTCCCTTTGTTTATGTCCCTAAAAAAAAAGGGACAAGTGCAGAGAGAGAAAAGGGAGTGCGAGAATCAGTTCCCTCACAAAAATAGCTTGTTAGAAACGTATAATGTCCTGTTTCCTCACCTTGATCTGCTTCCTCCAGTGTTGGCTTCTACCAGATGGCTAAAATTGCTGTCACTCCTACTATTGTTTTCGCCGAGTTCATTCTCTTCAGAAAAACCATTTCTTTTAACAAGGTGAGTAAAATGTTTTACGATTCAAAGAAACATATATTTTTGGATTTCAATTTCCTATCTCAATGGTTGTGTTGAGCAGGTTTTGGCTCTAGCTGTAGTCTCGGCGGGTGTGGCAGTAGCAACCGTAACAGATTTAGAGTTCAATTTATTTGGTGCTTTGATTGCTATTGCATGGATAGTTCCAAGTGCTGTAAACAAAATCTTATGGTCTAACCTTCAGCAGCAAGGCAATTGGACCGCGCTCGCGTAAGAATTCTCTCCTTAATTACTTCCTCCTTAAACATGATCAATGAAGCAATCAGTCAAACAATACACCCCCGCTAAAATTACAATTTCTGATGTGGAACTGTAGGCTGATGTGGAAGACAACCCCGGTCACGATATTCTTCTTGCTGGCTCTGATGCCTTGGTTGGATCCACCAGGCGTCCTACTTTTCAAGTGGGATTTCGGTAACTCAACCGCTATTCTTACATCGGCAGTCCTTGGTTTTCTCCTCCAATGGTCCGGAGCTTTGGCACTCGGGTGAGTCTGTTTTCGCCCTTTTTTTCCGCTTACATTGGTGAAACTCATCCTAATCTTAACCTGACCCATTACCTTTCCTCCCTCACCGCTAAATCTAACCGCGAGGGCTTCGTTTCTGCAGTTTGGATTTACTAGAATTGGCTTGAAGTTTAAACTCTTTCTTGTTCTGTGTTATATGCAGGGCAACCTCAGCAACTTCCCACGTTGTTCTAGGGCAGTTCAAGACATGTGTTATACTACTAGGGGGCTACCTTATATTTAACTCGGATCCGGGCTTTGTGAGCATTTGTGGGGCTGTCGCAGCCTCTGCGGAATGTCTGTTTACACGTCGCTAAACCTGAAAAAGCCGCAAGACAGCACGAGCAAACAGCTCCCAAAGCAAAGCTTACCGACGTCAAAACCCAAAGCCACTGACGGAGAAAGTGTAGAGTCAGAAGTAGAAGATACTGCAACTATTGTCTGAAGACAGAACGCCAAGCATCAGGCCTACAAAACCATTTTTTTGGCGTTTGAGAGAAGGAGAGGACAACACAACGTACCGTTGTCTGAACTTGAAACCGAAAGAAGAGGCTTTTAAACTTTTTTCATGTGATGTAGGGAAGAGAGATGAGGCAGAAGAGTATAGTTAAGCACAGTTTTTAGATATAATTGACCAGAATATCATATTTGTTGATTAACAATTGACACACTACGAAGCTTAAGGATTACAGGCGTAAATCCTTGAAGAACAGGTAGTCCGGAATCCATTAGTTTTTGAGAGAAATCCCAAATGGGGTTTTGATTAAGATTGAAAATGATGAGTCAATAGGAGCCGACCGATGACTTAAATAACATAATTACAACACTTTGGGGTAAAGGCCTTACGAAATTAAAACGACATTCATCAAACGACAAACAAAAAGTCTGATTATAATTACAGAAAGCATAATGTGTTTTTGGAAGTCTAAACGACCTCGAATGGCTAAAACGAAGCTAGGACGCTAAATATGTAAATTTCCATTGCGTTCTTTTTTCTTGTTAATTTTAAAGTGCTTCTTTTTCTTTAGTTTTACTCCTAAAGATTCACCTGAATCTTGTCCTACATCAACAATGAACGTTACTGTATGTCCCAAACAATTTACAGGCCTAAATTTAGTCCCTAAAACATGAGATTTGTGAGACATACAAGCTCAAATCATGCCACATTCTTCAATAGAAAGCTCAGTTTGCAGAAGAGTGATTTATAAATCAATGAAACGCCGTGAATGAGTGAGCCAGAAGCGTCTGCCAGCCTACCTCGAGACTCTGCCTCTCCCGAATTGCAACAGTTTGCTCATCATGAAGCATGTCTTCAAGTCCGAGAGTTCATATCTTCCTTGATTTATACCTGTAATCCTTGCACAAGATGACATATAAATCGTGTTAATCTTCTCTGTATCGTTTCAAATTTTTTGAACGTTCCAAATTTCACGAAAGTTATTTAACTTTGTACCACGTAAGGGTGGAACAATTAGGGAGGGGGCAACACATTTTTCGACAGTCTACTTTCTTAAAATATTATACATTCTTTCATTTTTCTTCCCTTCGCTAATTTTAAGCAGCAGTTCATATATACACTCAGACTCGTAACATATTGCCTGGTTGGAAAGGCAGAGCCGTTGGATCGCGATTGACAAGATAAGAAAGTGGACTATCTCTAATAGGAATTACCTTGGCTATTGAAGATTAAGGAGGAGTTCCTTCTCAAGATAATCTGTAACTGACTCACGAAACTTCGTAATTATAATCAAAATCGTTCATATTATAAATCACTTTCTCAAGAGTATCTCCGCTAAAAAAAAAAAAAATTCATAAAATATGAGATCTTTTAGTCATCAAACTATATAAAAACATAAGGACAAATCAAGTAAAAGAACTATGAAGAGTCTATCTATTTGCTATTGTTGGTTGAATAAATGATCTTCTTTTTAATTTTTTTTTTTTTTTTTTTTGCAGAGATAATCTTTACAGAATGATTTATAATATGAGCAGTTTCAATTATAAACACAAAATTTTGTAAATTGGTCACAATGTATCTTGAGGAGGAACTCCACCTCAATCTTAAGGAGCCAAGCCTTTCTCTATCTGGTATCCAGTGATATAATTGGACCTATTTGAAATAACTGGCTTTTTTTAACAACTTATTTTACTATTGATCACTTTGTGGCAAATAATTGGAAATAATATACATTTGGTACAAATACAGTTTGAAATTTTAACAATTCCACAAATGTTTTATCTTTATTTAATAAATAATTTCAAGAATATAAGTCAAACCTAGTAGCGTGTATTTATAACTGAGCCAGGCATTAAAGTGATTGATTTTATTTGATGAGTCAATGATTCATTGTAACTTCATATTGAGGTTAAATTAAGCATACTCTAAGTCCTTGAAGTGAATGACATAAAGATTATACTTGGTATATTAGCATTTGTACATGTGCTATGTATGTGGGTGTTAAAATTTTGAAAATAAAATTTATAAAAGAGAAAATCTAAATGTTTTGGTAGCTAAAGCTTTTTGGTGACAACTTTTAAACAATGTTTGGTCGCTGAAGAGGTTGTTCATATTTTTAACAATTGTTTTTAGGTAACTATTTCATCACTAAGAGTTTATTTTATTTAGGAGAAAAACATGGAAGAGAGAGGGAGGTGGGAGAAAAGATTGGGACAACTGATATGGTTACATGGGTCTGAGGGAAAGAAAAAAACAGTAAAATTATTTTGTTTTCAGTTTCATTTAGGTTATTTTTCTTTAGCTTAGTTGATGGGGATAGAATTGTTGGTTCACCTTCTTGCAATTAACAAAGAGAATCCTATTAAATAGTGGAGATAAGTAGCAAATCTCGTTTTACCATAGTGGCAGAAAGCATCAACGTCCATTCACTATGATGTGGATATGATCTCCTCCCTCATAACAACGAACAATATACTCAACAACACTATCGTTTGTAAAAAATAATAATAAAGATAAGTAGAGTGGAATGACAGTTGTAGGAAAAATAAATAAATAAATAAATAAAGGACGGTAATTACCAAAAAAAAAAAAAAAAAAAAGAGGTTAAGCACCTTGGAAAGTTGAGTCACCTTTTGTTCCCTTTGGCTTTAATTGGGTGTTCATAACTTTGTTTACATCTTGTCTGCAACTCTAAGCCTCTAAGTAATCGCTCTCTATCGTCTGGATCAAGGCAAGAACATGTTTATAGTTGACTTTTTATTTTCTTAGTTGGTTTTTTCCATTTGAATTTTGTCTTGAAGTCTGATGATCGTGTTTGGTTGGCCAGTTTTGATGGATATCAAACCATCTTCAACCCTTAGAGTAAAATCTAAAAATTTTAGCCCAGAAAATTTAAGTTTTAACTCAAAAACAGTTTTTCTGTTCTAACCCTTCTGGCCTATAATTTTAACCCCAGATTATAAAACAATGAATTTAGGCTTTTTTTTTAAATTAACTTTAAAAAAAAATTATGTAGACTATCCTATCCTAAAAATATTTAAATTTCGATAAATATGGAAAAATCACTAAATCGATACATGAAACTTGTGAAACACTATGGAAGAATATGAAAATCATGATACAGATATATAAACACAAAATACATGAAACACACAAGACACACATAACACATATGAAGCACATATAAAACACATGATAGGAAGAAAAATTTGGAAATGGGAAGAAATGGCAGAAAGAAAAATTGGAAGAATTGTAGGAGAAAAGTGAGTTTTGTGTGAATGTTTGAACAAATACATACGTATTTATAGAGTTTTTGGGCGAATTTTGAGTTAAATAATTTTTTAATTATTTTAGATGTTGGATTTAAATTTGGACCGTTAGGTTTTTTTTTTTTTTTTTTTACCTTTAAATTTAATTATATTCGATTTTAGCCGTTGGATTCAACAAAATTTATAAATATAAAAGTAAAAAAAAATAATTGAATGTAGAACGACTTAGTTGATTTAAGTCGTTCGATCAAAAAAGTAGCCGTTACCCGTTGATGCAAGTGGCCGACATGCCCAAGTGGGTAAGGCCATGTCGTTGCTTGCCCTTGACGCGTCGCTCGCATGCGCATGTCCGACCTTTGCGTCTGGCATTCAGGCATCCATTTCCACTCTCACTGGTGGGCCCCACACGTTTCTTTGGGCTATTTCTTGGCCTAAATCTAGCAATTTTTCTGGTTTTAGCTTCTAACTTCAAATTAGAACTAGGGTTGGAATGGAATGGAGGAGGTGGAATAGAAGGGAAATTATAGGTTTTACTCCAAGGGTTGGAGTTCGTCTTAATAACAAGAGACCTGCTCAAGTGGAGGCAGGTGATTGGAGAAGCCAATTCCAGCTAGATTTACGACGCAGAGTTCTTAACAAGCTATAAGTATTGTTTCAAGTAGATACATAAACAAATTTGGTTACAAACTTTTAATCCAAAATTTTTGGAAATACAATACAAGGGGTTCCAAATCTTGTTATATATACTGTTTATTGTCTTTTTCGTGTCCCGGTTTCGATTTTTATTAGTAGCTTGTGATTAGTTACGTTTGTTCATGTTTCCCTATATGTTTCAGCACGTGAGACAATTTATTCACTGATTTATAGCCCATTTGGAAGTCCATTTATTATGGCTGAAAACGTTTTAAGTGAAAATATTTGGAAGCAATCCTTATTAAATATGCAAGTAAATTCTACAAAAGCACTTAAAGTATTTTATGAATGAAGCATATAACTAGTGTTTCTTGCATAAAGCAATTCAAGTGTTTTTGGAATGCAAAAATATTTTTTCTAAAAGCTTTTTCAGTCATTTCAAAAGCATCTCGAAATGAGCCCTGAACTTTAGTTTGTTAATCATGGACAATAACTTATTGAATATATATTGCACACAAAGAGTTGAAACGTTTAAGAGGCTCATTCCGTCCGAGGGCGAGGAGTCATTTACTTGAACTCGAGAGGATTGCCGGAGGGCTTGAGGAGAAGATATATGTTGCTGCCTCAAGCCAGGTACTTCAAGAATTCCTGGACTTCAAATCTCCTTTGTCTTTGCATTGCAATATTGCATATGCCTAGATCTTTATTTTTCAACTTTATTTATAGGCTTTTTAGCCAAAATAGTCACGAGATTGTCATAACTTCTCACTGTGGTCCTTGAGATTTAAAATTGATAGAAGCAGGTATCGGAGATTGTCCTCCTTCAATTATTTTGATCATTTTGTGAAAAGTTTACGTTAAATTGAAGAAACCACCAGTTCAAGTAAAAGGGTTCATTTGACCAAAATATCCTCAATTTGACGGAGATTTTTCACGGAATGATTAAAATGATTGATTTAGACAATCTCATGGACCACTTTAACCAGAAAGCTGTATTGTAGATAGCTTTATAATCAAAATTGTGTGTGAATCTCTCTGTTTTTTTTTCATTTTTTCTATCAGCCGGATTATCTATGGAAAATTTCTCTCAAAATGCTCACCATGGAGATGAAGTCTCAGACCGCACCACCCCCCTCCAACCTGAAACGCCATCGCGTCTTTGCTTGACTTTTGTAGGTACCCATTTATAAAAAATGGTCCCCTAGCAAATGCAATTGTGCATGAAATAAAATAAAATAAAAACCTTGAGATTTCAGAGTTTCAGAAGCTCAAATGATGCATATATAGTAGAAAGAAACATCTGTTTGTAATATGCATAAATATTAATAAATAGAGTAGTGTTTTTCACACACCCATTTTTACCTCACACACTCCTCTCAATTTTCGGTCTTCAAATCGAATGAATTGAATACGATAATTAACAAGAGTGTATGGAAGACAAAAATAAATGCGTCGAGCACTTTCCAATTAATATTCTTGACGAGCAGTGCTGGCTTCTCGATTGAGTTTGAGGGCGAGCAATTTGTGCAATTTGATTACTTTGTTTCTTGTTCGGGCTTAGAAAATGGAATTAGATGCATGGGATTGGTAATTATGTTACAAGAGGCTAATCACAGTGTTTAAATCAGGTCCCACACTTTAGGACAGACAAGTGCAATTGAATTCCTAGTCAATGAACAAGAGTGTTGACAAAACAATGCATTGTTCTTTAAGGTACTTGCTTGGGTTCAATAATTAAAAGGCTTATTTTTAGCTAGATTTTTAAAATTTGATTTTGATCGCTTGTTATTATATGTAATTCAAAAGTGAACTCTCTATTTCTGAAACTCAAAATTCTCTACTTTGACTTGTGGGTCTCTCTCTTCTCCGTGAAACTCAAAAGTTGTCCCTTCCTAAAACATATGTGATACACACCATGAAATAAAACTATGCCACACGTACCAATTAATTTAATTATAAATCTTCATTATACATTAATCTTCAACAATAAAAAATACTGAGATGAAAAGAAGAAATTAAGAATTAAATTGTTTTTGGTTCCTGTACTTGAGTTACAGAGATAGAAAAAAAATTGATTAGCCTAAAGCACCAAATCAAACCCATGTAACGGAATTTACAAATTAAGACAACATGAAACAAATTTTGAGTTTAATAGAGTACAATGACGACTTTTAAATTTCAGAGGAAAAAATCAGATCAAAGTCAAGTTGCAAGAGACAACAAGTAAAGCAAATTTTGAGTTTCATAAGTAGCGACGTTTAAGTTACTAGGAGCAAAATATGATTAAAATCAAGTTCCAGAAAACGTAGCTAAAATAAAAACACCACATTTCTAACCAACCAAACAAATAGAGAAGCCAATTCTCAATGTACAAATTACAATCGTATAATTCGACATTTTTCTTGCTATCATCATATATATCATCATAATATACAGGTGAGACATCAGAAAAGGAAAACTTGATAAATCCCACCCACCTCTAAACTCTTATCATCCTCCTCAGTTTTCCCACCAAAATATTACTTTTCGAATTAAAATTATAAAAGGAAAAAGAAAAGACTAAGAAAAAAAAAGGATAAAATCTGAGCACTGGGAAAACCCAAACATCCTATCTTCTTTCAACTTCAGATGGTCACTCAAGCAGGTATTCCAAAATTTTCTGGGCAGCATTTCATATATACACTCAAAACATGCCCGCTATCAGATACCCAGTTTAAACGTGACCCTCGGAAGATGTATCGTCGCCTCTCGCATGTATTTCTGCCAAAACAAATGATACCTAATTCCAATTTGTCTGTGTTTGTTGAGCCTGGTGATAAGGAGCGGACTGGGGTCCTATCGTTTCAGCAGCTCCCGCCACAGCTGGAGACTGTTGTTGCAGAAATGTCGGAGAAACAATAGTTTGCCCTGGTGGATACATCCCAGGCATGCCACCGTGACCAGCCTGCATAGGTGAGAAGGTGAAACGCGGCCCCTGAGTAAGGTTGTACATGGAACTCATCTGCAAGCTGGATATATCTTGTCCTGGAGCAGGTATCCACACAGATGAGCCTTCTGTCTGCACGCACATTACCGAAAGGAACTGTATTAGTCAGAGAACCCAAAGGTACACTTTATAAGAAAAATAAGATGGAAAATAAGTAAAATGGCGGTCAGTCTAATATATTTCATAAAGATGAAACCCCACATAGATTCAAGCTTTCTTGTCCTGCAAGGAAATTAAAAACTTCAATTATATGGAATCAAAGACCAACCAGCTGTCCGGTTGTGTAGATATGATTTTCCTTCGGTTGAGATGCTCCATGATCTTCATTACCAACAGAGCTTCCAGATGTAACTGTTGGACCCGGAACATAACCACCGAGCGGTGGTGATAAATGGACCACCAGATTGAAAACTGTATTGTGTTGGACTTCCAGCATTGGCACCAGGCTTGAGATGTGGAAGAGAATACTTAACCCCGGAAGCAGCTGCCCCTGGTGGTGGCAGTGGTAGAAAAACATTCCCAGTAGAAGGCTGTGGAGGAAAGCCACCGTTGTGACTTAAGAACTGCTGCATATGTGGCATATAATATGGAGAGAGATAGTGGCCGTATGGGTAGAAATTTGGGGGATAAGTCTGCCTGTACATAGGAATGGACTGCTGAGAGACAGCTGCCGAGCTTGGCAGGGGTGGAGTTGAGTTTGGGCTAGGCACAGCAGCAGGATTGTCACCCTACAATATGAATTACACAGATCAGAACATACAATGACAACAAAAGAAACTTTCTCCGGAAAGCTACACTTCAAGTACAAATTTACTCTTAGTAATTGAAGGACTTACAACAAAGCTTGGAAGGCGGGCTGTTTCATGAGCCGGATTATCATGCCCTTCAACTTGTAAAAGTTGGCTCCCTAGCATAGGGGGAAAGAAACCCAGACTATAAGTCGGGGTATTTAAAGCTGTTGGGTTCTGGTGACCTTCTGGTGGCAACTGCAAGTCCTGTTTCGGCAGTTCAAGTTTTGAGTTTGTACTTGAAGATACATTATCCAGAGGTGGTAAGTTTTTAAGAGCGTCAGCTAAACTTTCAGAATATCTCCTTGAACAGAAGCGGATACAATATTATTGCTGCATAAAATAAAATAAAAAGCGAGATAAGTAAAAACTTCTTAAGAAAATAATTCCACAGTTTAGAAAGGGTCCTGTTATAGATAAATATAAATACTTTATGCTATGGAAGATAAACTGTGATTAAAATATTTGGATAAAACTTTCAAACTTATGTTCTCTTATCACCAAGCAGAAGAGAAAAGCACATAAATCATACATCAAACAAGCCAAAACAGATAGGCATAAGCAAAATCACCAACCTGGGAGACGGTTCTTTAGCAGTTTCATCAGTATCCTGGGAAGACTCAACTGCACCCATAGAGAAATTATCGCCACCAGTACCCTTAACAGAGTCTACTCTCACTCCAAAAGGAGCATCGATACTTCCAAAGGTCAATACATTTTTCAAAGCTTCAGGCACTTGGATATGATTTGGGAAAGTAACATGTTTTGCAACTGAGGCTCTCAAGTCACGAGGCAAGTGAGAAGTAGCTTCAACAGCATTTGTTGCAACCTCCGGTGCGACCACTGTTTAAGAAACATAAGTGAAAAACTTACTTAAAAAGGCAATGAAAGATACTTAAGCACAAACAAGGATACCAACAACAGATACTAAACACAATGAGTATTGCATAAATGTGACAGCACATACTGAGCACACACACAAGGATAGCGATAACAAAGACAATATAATTGCTGATAAAGAAATTACAGATGCAGCACATGCAAGGATACAAATTATGATTGACTAACAAAATTGAGGGGAAAAGAAGGAAAATCAAGTCTGAAGAACTTTCCTTACAGTCTAAGGTAAATTGACGCAATAAATACAGTGGGGCAGAAAACCAATCTAGAGTTTTCGGGGACTTATGCAAGCATTGCCAGGGAGTACATGATGAATTAAATCACTTTCAATACGTGAAAGTATGAAGATAAAAAGCAACTCTTAGTCTGTAACATATCAAAATACCTTTGGCAGGAACATTAGGCTTTAACTGTGACTGTTTATCACTATTGGAAGGCATCTGGGCCAAGGAGCCATCATGCTTAATATCTCCATAGTTTTCAGCCACCTTGCAATCATTTGAAGTTTTTCCGTTTTGCATAGAATTAACAGATCTTGGGGCCGTTTTTTCACTTTTGGACAACTCTAAACCAATAGCATTACCAGAACCTTTTTGGATTCCTTGAGTATGATTTGACAGAGTAGGATCAGACGCAGAGGAAGGAACGGTTGAAGCAGGGGCAGATGTAGCAGAAACTGGGTTCTGGTTAGGCATTGACACAGACTTCTCATCATCCAGTGAGCCAAAGCTAGGTGTAGATGCCACAACAGCAGGAGGAGGTGCTGCAGCCCCTGACACTTTTACAACTATAGCTGAAAATCCTTCATGAACATTGTTGTCAACATCCGTAGGGGATTTGGGGGAACCACCATGAGTAGAATTTCCATTTGGCAGGTTTTTTAGCCCATTTGGTGAGCCAGTTGAAGCTCTATAGATAGAGATGTATATCATAATTAAAAGGAAAAATAAGACCTAATATTCTTCTTACGCATGCAGTAGGGTTAGGTCTAGGACACAAAACAATTCTTCAAAGATTCAAAAAGCATTTAAAAGATTGGCGAAAGCTTACTTTGGGCCTGGAGCTGGAGCAGTATTTTTTGTTTTCGGAACTGGCTTAACAGGAGAGGGCATGGGACCTCTATCTGCAAAGTGATTGGCCCCATTTTCCCTCCGAGCAGAATAATTCCTCCCACCACCAGCATCTGAAATTTAATTCATAAAACAAGGTAATAAATACCAATAAAAGCAACTTCACATCAAGATAATGAAGAAATCCATACCAACAACAATGCCATCACAAAATCTAGAACTAGCAAGATATTACACAGAAAATATATATGTATGTATTTAACAGATTGAAAGTTTACCAGAAGAGAAGTTAGAAGAATAATTCCCTTGGCCACCACCCCTAGACACTCGCCTCTGTGTGCCTGGTGGCATTCTAGAATCTTCAGATGCTCTGTCTTTTGAATTCTGTAACAGTAACAGCTCTTCATTATAAACTAGCCTAGCTAGCTTCACATGGTACATGTGCGCACAAATGAAAAGACAATAGAAACATATTAACTATTACTATACTAAAACAGCATTGATAAATAAGGATGCATTACTGGATGTATATATCCTTATAGACGAAAGCAAGATATTTACCTCCTTTCTCCGATCTTTTCTGCTTTTGACCTCATGAAAGGTATCTGCCAACAGAAACAATATGTTCATTAGTTTCAGGAGTTGAGTAACTTTTGTTAGGTGCTTCGTGCATGAAGCATGAGTGTTATGCATGACAACTTCTACAAAACAATGATGAGGAAGGACACAAGTAGAGATGGACAAGGTAATCCATAGGCAGTAAGACAACTAAAGGAAGAATCCAACTCAGGCAATATGCAGTAAGACAACTAAAGAAGCAATCCACCTCAGACATGTAGATATCAAGTCAAATTCCCTAAGGATATATGTAGCCCAAGTTAATCGTGAATTCCAAATATTTCAATTGCTTAAAACAAAATGCAAGAATAATTTACATGCAAACTAGGAATCTTATGCAGTAACATGTCACCATAAATAATTTAAGGAAACACATGTATTAACAAAGTAACCCAATTTACTACCACAGATATGAATCCACCAATAAGAATGTCCCATCAAAACCAAGGTGCATTATGTGACAAATAATACCATATCTTACTCGAAAACCTATACTTCACAGAACTACTTTGCAAGATTAAGATACAAAAGAAACCAACTAATGAATTCAACCCCGTGATAACCAGAATTTGGAAGCACACGCGTTCATGCAGATAAGCGAAAAAAAAGCACAACAGCATTATTAGCATAGTCGTAATGGTCAATGCAAAAACAAAGACATTACAAAAAGTTATCTTGCACTTTGACAACAATTTTCTTGTCAGTGTATGCCTTCAAATCTTAGTGAACCGTGAAAAATAAACATTCCGCGAAGAAAATAACATGGTGAAAATGATTCTCATTAACTTTTACCAATTTTTGTAAGGGGGGAAAGCTAAATTTCACGTTTTTACATTTCTAGGGTCAGAATTTCATATCTTTCAGTGCAAAAACTAGCATAAAAAAAACACAAACTTTAAACACACTCCTTCCCCGACCCAGTCCGCAGCAGCCAAAGAGAACCACAACAAGAAAAACAACAACGAAGCTTCTTTTCAACTACTCAAACACTTTTCCACTTCATAAATTTGAAGTAAAGGTTTTCAATTTTCTTATCGTATCTTCAATTTTCTTTATTTTTTGTATCTTCGATTTTCTCCGAAAACAGAGATGAACCCATTAAAGAAAAATCAAAACCCAGAAAAACCCATTGATCACAAGGCAAAAACAAAACAAACCCAATAAAACTATGCGCCAAAAACACAGAACCCAGAAACCCATCGACCTAAAACTTAATGCAAAACACAAAACCCATGCAGAAAATAGCCCCTTTTCATTACCTAAATACAAGAGCTTTTGAGCGGTCTCGTTGGGATCCATAGAGCACTCCCTGAGCACGGCGTAGATTTCATCGTCGCCGTGCTGCTTCCCGGTCATATCTCTGATGTTCTGGATCGTGAGCTTTACATTGTCCGTGATTGAAACCCTAGTCTCCCCACCGCCGCTCATGGTCTGGTTTGCAGACAGAGATAGAGAGAGAGAGAGAGAGAGAGAGAGAGGGAGAGAGAGAGAAAGAGTGTTTCTTGTGTTTGTTTTGGTGTTTTGGGAGAGACTTTGGGTGAAGAGAGAGGCAGCTCAAATAATAAATAGGTGGGGTTTTTTATTTTATTTTTTATAACAAAGGTTGGTATTTACAATATGGGTCTTTTCTCATAATAATAGTAATAGTAAGATTTAAATTTACGTTTATCTAGAATTAAGTATTAAAAGTTTTATATAATTAAAAAAAATACTAATAGCTCGTAATATTAAATAAAAAAAAGTTTCTAATATCGAAAATAAATAAAAAATTATATTGGTGTGCGGAAGGAATTGAGAAATTTATTTGGACATGGAGAACCTTGGGAGACACGGATTTTGGATTTGTGTGTTGTTTGCTGGGGAATTGAAAGGAAACGGGCAAAAAGGGTAAGAACAAAGAGAGAGAAAGTGACAGGAAAAAGTGTGATTGGATGAGAGAGAGAGATGTCTGTGTCTTTACTTTGTGACTAAGGATTGAGATGTAATTGGGATTTTAGGGGAGGTCCAAAAGGGATCGTGAGGAAAACAGACCACGTTTGATGTGGGAGAATTAGGGTTACCCTACTAAATTATATAGATTAGAATTGTTGTGATATTCTTGGATTTTTATGTATTTTCTCTTGTGCATTCGATTTGGTATAAATGACTTGCTAGCTTAGGGTTTAATTATCCTAACTACCTATACTCATAAGTTACGATATGGATTTTAACTGACGTGGATTGAAAGACGCAAATCTTGTGTGAAGTTTCTAGTGTATTACATAGTTGTCCGTCTGTGTGCATAACTTCAACCTATAAAATGGGTCTAAACAAACCTAAAAGAGTTTCAAATGATTTTGCATATTTTGCCTTTACTCTTGAGTTATGATATGAAGTTTAATTGACTTGCTAGTTAAAAGGATGAATTATCCTAACTACCTATACTCACGTGTTACAATATGGGTTTTAATGGACATCGAATGAATGATGTGAATCTCATGAAGAATTACTAGTGCATTTCATAGTTGTATACATCTTTGTGGATAACTTAATCTTATAAAAACGTTTGGTGGGTCAAACCAACCTACGAGAATTTTAAATGATTTTGAATATTTTTCATTCTATTGTACAATCTGGATTCGATATATAAATGACAATTAGTTAATGCATTGAATCTTGTCAACTACCTACATTCACATGCCGCAATGTGTGTTAAAACTCACAACTATTAATTGATATAATAGAAAAAGTATTTGTGGTATGGTATTTCAATTCATCCTCAATCAACTTATATAGATAGTATGGCAAAATGGTCTGTTGTCACTTTGCCAAAACCTAGCACCCTCCGGCCTCCGCCGCTTCCCCTCCCTCCCTCCTCCAACTATTGGTTTTTTTCTTTCTTGATGTGAGCATTAGTAGGTTTTTTTTTTTTTTTTTTTATCTTATTTGATGTAGGCCCAAGTTTAATTCTCCGCTCTTCAATATTTGTTTCTACAAAAACAACAAAATGACACTCGGAGGTGTAAAGCATAGCACAAAAAAAAAAATTGATACGTCACTTATTTTTTATAAGTGTAGAGGAAGAGTTTAACTTAAGACTACCTTGGAAACCGTCCCACTTCATTCACTTGCATGCGATCCAATATCTTAGTAGATAGAGCATTAGGGTTTCCAGCCATAATCCCAGAATTGAAAATCTCCCTCCCCTAAATTTTGATAATTTTGAATCCTATCCCTCCGTTTAATAATAATTTTTAATTAGTTTTTTTTTTTTATGAAACAAAATAACACTATAACAACAACAACAACCAAGCTTTATCCTACTATGTGGGATCGGTTGTATGATTCTCGAATGTCATTGCTCTTGGTTTTGAGCCAAAGGTTACATTAACTCTAAGTACTTCATGTTTTTTCTTAAAGTCTCTTTCAAGTCTGTCTAGGTCTTATTTTACATCTTTTGTCCTGATTTTCCGTCTCAAATCATGTCCAAACCACCTTAACCGATTTTCTATGATCTTATATTCTATTTTGGCCACTCTTTCTGACCATATTTACACTCAATTAAGAAAAGTAAATTACCGTTAAACTATATAAGTTCAACATTTATCTTTCCCCGTCCTAATCATAAGTGGTATTCTGAACAATGAAAGCATGTTTTCAGCATCATTCCTTTACGTTGGCAATGCTGATTTGTTAGGGCAATGAGCAATTAATCACAATTTTTTACTCCCCTTTTGGCACGAGTGTTGCCATTATTTGTCTATTGGAAACATGATTACATATTATTTGTCTAGTGGATACAAAAAATGATTTATTTATTCTTGTTGGGTATATGTACGGGTAATTCAGGATCCACGTTTTTGACATATATTTGGAATATGTTTTTGTGCAGTACATTTCGTAATATATTTCATCGATCAAATTGTCTATTTTTCATATCTTATCTTAAATATTATGTCTATAAAAAAATCATTTAAATCCGAAATCATATGATCTTTTGATAAATTTAGTGTTTATTTGTAGAATCATATTCGTCTATTTTTTTTTTTCATTACAAATGACTGTCTTAGTGGTTTTGGATTTGTCTAATTTTTTTTAAAGATAATCTATGAATGATGTACTAAAATATGTAAGATTCGGGTTGCTAAAATATATTCCAAAGTGAGGCTACAAAATAGGTATAAAAATATGTCAAAAATGTGTCTCCGGATCCTAACCATTTATATATATATATATATAAGAAATGCTAAGGAGACTCTCTCAAAGCAGGACTCTCCATGAACTCTTTTACTACCTCATGTTTTTAGCACAATTTTTGTACTAACATTAAAAAACATTATGTCAAAAACATGAAATAACAGAAAGTCTATAGAGATTCTCATTTTTGAGTGAGTCTCTCCTTAGCATTTCCCTATACATATACAAATATATCGAACGAGTCAGACCAAGGGAATGAGGCGAACAAGTTGGAAGAAGGCATGAGTACGTTTTACTGATCCGTCTCATGGTCGGTTCTGCGCAATTGGTGTTCGAGAATCGATCAGTCGAATGTTGTTGAGGATTAGATTAGATGCATGTAATAATTTGTTGCAGCCATGTTATAGAGACTGCATGTTAATTTCCTCCTGCTGCTGTAAATTTAGTTTACTGCCTGCAGACTGCAGTGCTTTCCTGCTGCTGATTGTTGAAGGTATACTCTTCTTTGATATTCGAGAGCTTGCCAACCAATTGAATTCCATGGAGTTTGCTTTTGTGCCTCGAGCTTGCAATAGGACAGCTCGTTTGGTGGCATCGTAAACCAATAAGGAGAGTGCTATCCACACACAAATTTGCTCGTTTGGTGGCATCGTAAACCAATAAGGAGAGTGCTATCCACACACAAATTTTTACTTCTCATACACTTTTTGTTAACTTCTAGCTATTGATCTTCTTCAAATTATTCGATCCAATAGTCGAAAATAAAAAAGGTGTGTTACAAGTAAAAAAATGTGTGTGAATGGCACACCCCTACCAATAATAGAGGGCGCTCTTGTAGATGGGAAATCTTGTTTCTTGAATTTCTTTTCAATATTCTTGCTGAAGATGTAACATTGCTTTTCGTATTTGATTGAATAAAAGTTACCATTTGACCAAAAAAAGTGACTCTCTATACCCTTATAAATCCATTAACTGTTAATGTATCGGCCATAGTCGTAGTTTAGGAAGCTACAAATGTATTTTTTGGCGACATTGGTTCTACTTTGGTGTATGGTTTGACTCATGGACCAAATTTACACTACCACCTCATGTGCCACTGAGGAGATTAGTTTGTCATCCATGTACTTCTCATACATGAAAAAAATGAAAAAATATATATGTACCAAGGAAATGAAAAATTATGTGCATTTTAGTTTGGAAAATTTGGACTAACCCTTGTCTTGGGTATGGAATATCAGTCTTGACACACCCCAACCGAAATCAAGGCGTGTTGGCCGTCACGTGAGGGTGACGTAGCCACGTGCACAGTGCAGAAGCAAAAATAATAATAAAAGTACGAATAAATAAAAACCAAACTACTAAAGAAGCTAGTTAAAGTAAAACGCAAGTGTAAGACTAAGTGTAATAAACAATATTCAGAGCACAGAAAGCCTAAGTGCAGTCCAAAAGAATGAATAGTAATTACACACACACACACACCCATACCCATACCATACACTCCCGTGACCTTTCTCTCTCTCTTCTCTCTCGGATTTCTTCCATTTTCTTTACAAAGTGTACATACCACTTTAGGTGGTTCCGACTCGTAGGTGACCTGCGATTATTCGCACGGTCTTCACGTGATCGTAGCACTTGAGCGTATTTATTTACACCCAATCTTGTTGTATAGACCACTTTAGGTGGTTCCGACTCGTATGCAGGTGTAGTGATTAAGTTGTGGATTTGAGCTCTAAATTCAGTCATACAGGTTACGTTAGGTGACTCCGGCTGACATATATTCTGCATTAATTAACATTACCTGGGTTACTTACATACATACATACATATTGTGAATGTTGCTACTCTTAGCATGGTTGTGATATATTTATATATTCTATTTTCTAGGAAATTATACGGGTTTTACAGATAGGGGTTAGAACTTTTGAGATTGAAATGATTTTGAAAAGCTTTGTTTTTGCCCACTCACACTTTCTGTTTTGCGCCCATCCAGGTTCTAGTTAGAAGCGTTTTGGTGGCTCACGAGGACTTGCCCAGCACGCTTTGATTTCGGTCGGGGTGTGTCAAGTCTCCTTGCACATTATTTTAGAATAATAAGGTCATCTCTAATCGAATGAGGTTGAAAGGGCTTTCTTTAGCCCTATAGCTCTGCAAGAAATTATATTTTAATAAACAATGTTGGGCCATATTTTATACTATCTTCAACTGAGAGGGCTGAATGACTATAAGCCAAACATATTCCTTTGACAAAAAACCATCTCCAACCGAGGAGACCAAAGGACCATAGGCAAAACATAGCTTATTATTTTAATTAAATTAATATGGTAAATTAAATTAAACTACTGTATTAAAACAAAGTTTTTGAACATATTTTGAGTGTCACTTGTTGTCAAATAAATAAGCCTCTAAATTTCTTATCTTTATATAATCTCAATATTTTTTGGATAAGATATCGAGCGACACATGTTGCTAACATGAGTAACTCTTTAGAATTCTTATCTTTATGTAATCTCAATAATTTTTCGAATAGGATGTCGAGTGACACGTGTCGTTAAAGTGAGTAACTCTTCATATTTCTTATCTTTATGTAATCTTAATAATTTTTTGGATAGGATTTCAAGTGCCACTTGTTGAGATATAATTGGTCATGCAAATTTTAGATAAGATTCTTATCTACATGGTACTCCTTATCTTCAGCTTTCAATGTTGTAGGTAATAGGAAAAACAATTATTTTTTTTTTAAATTCGTCCAAAAAAAAAATTTCAAATTTCAACAGTAACCTGACTGCAGCATGACGTTAGCTAGCCGTTGTTAGCTGGCATAATGTTGACGCCAAGTAGCCATTGACATTCAAATGAGCTGGAGATGGAGGGCTAACAAAATGTCAAGCTTGACATTGTAGAGCTGGAGAGCTGACAAAATGTTAAGCTTGACATTTTATCGCTAGAAGGCTGGCTGGTTGGCTGGAAATGGCTAGCGGCTTGATTTGGGGGTTGGGGCCTGGGGGGGCCCACAAGCCCTTTGGCCTAGTCCCTCGGTTAGAGACATTTTTTGTGTCATTCTAAGCTATTTTTAGCTTATGACCCTTTGACCGTGTTGGTTAAAGATAGCCTAAACAGTTAATTCTCAACCATTCACTCGTGAAAAATAATGTTTGGGAGCATTTCCAATGGAATTAAAGATCATTCAATACGAAGAGGCCCAAATTCCAATAGATCCAATACTCAAAAGGCCCAATGAAAATTTGGCTAATCAGCTTAAACAAATCTCAGAGCCCTCCTAAGTAGATTGTGCAGTCGATATGCTCGCCTTATTCTCTAACCACCAAAAACGGAACATAACGGAAAAAACTGTAAAAGCTGAAGCAAGTAACACAGCACCAACACCCTTTCCCGGTAAGTGCTACTGCGGGTCTGCCTAGTGTTTGCATTGAACTCCGATTCTTTAGATTTCACTATCTGGGTTTGTGTTTCTTATAGTTCTTTGAGGCATTTCGTCGAACACATACAGTGCGCCTCATGGTTTGCTTGCTTTCTCTTGACATTGGTATGAAAAATGTGTCATTGGGAAGATTTTGATTACTGGGTAACTCGTATTTTTCCTGCATCAGTATTCGGGCTCATAAAAATATTATCTTTTAGCGTTTATGCCGTTCTGCTTTGGTTTGTATAACAGAATTTTGAGTTTGAATGGTTTGATTCTTAAGAGATACTATGTAAATGTATTTATGTATAGAGTCATACTCTCTCTTGCTACACAAACGTATGGATGCAATAGATGAATTTTCATAGTTCGAAAGTAATAGAATGAAACAAAGCGAGCTAAATTGGTTTTGGAAGGTTTTAGGTGAGGGATTTTTCCATATAATTTTCTTCAAGAGAATGAAATTTGCAAGTCCTATCCAATCATTTTGTTCAATATTCTTACTAGGTTTCAGGGTATCCGAGTATTTATTTCAGAAATCACAGAGGTAGTGCACGATATGGATGATTGGTTTAGAAAGAATTAGTGCTATACCTTTTCTTGTGGTGTCCAATCTTGTGATTTTTTCCTAATTAATCTTGGATCAAAAAATATACGGCTGATGTTGAAATCCGATGAAAGCACTATTCTTTGGATGCATTGGTCGTCTCTTTTGAATTTATGGGTGTAGCTAAAATCCAGAGTTTTATGAGAATTTGGATTAATCATTACAAATCATGAGTCCGAAATTAGTTTAGACCAATTTAATAGCTTGTTCGTGCTTGTAGCTTGAGCTAGTGTGTGTAATCACTGTGATGTTATTATTTTTGTGAGTTATTATGCTACGTGAAGTGGTTGATGTGTTTTCAATACTAGTCCTAGAACCTTGGCCATAGGTTGCACTGTTATAGCTGCTTACCACTCATACTTGTAATTGTTTTGTTTTGTCTCGCATTAGGTGTACCGGACCTTTAACTTTTGTTTGCTTGGATATCCAGGATATTGAGGTACTAGTGAGCGTTTCCAAATGGAAATTTCAAATTGCCGACTCAGTTGCGCTTGTCATTAAGTTCAACCAAGGAGAGAATGCTCCATTTGACGAGACTAAAGATATCCGATCAGCTTACTGAAATTCCTCAAAAGCTAAATTTTTCTGTCATTAACGTCCTTAAATTATCCAGCCAAATACTTCTGTTGTCAGAATCCAGCATTGAAATTGATACAATCACCAGAATAATTAACAACCATCCTTACCCTGATCAACCACTTCAACCGACTCTTCTCCAGCACATCCCACCACAAGTTCTTTCCACCAGTTTTGTGGAGAATGTTCTTGGTCACCTTTTCGCAGCCCATTCCAATGGTCTTAAAGCCCTTGAATTCTTCAATTATTCCCTCAGTCATTCCCAGTTATGTCCAAGCTCAGACGCTTTTGAAAAGATGCTGCACATCCTTACCAGGATGCGTTATTTTGATAAAGCGTGGGAGTTGATGGCAAAACTAAGCAGGACGCACCCTTCCTTGCTTACCCTTAAGTCAATGAGCATCATTCTGTCAAAAATAGCAAAATTCAAATCGTATGAAGATGTCCTTGAAGCATTTGAAAAATTGGAGAACGATATTTTTGCTGGGAGGAAGTTTGGTACTGATGAGTTCAATGTACTCCTCCGAGCATTTTGCACAGAAAGGCAGATGAAGGAGGCACGTTCAGTGTTCATGAAGATGTGTTCTCGCTTTCCACCCAACACCAAGACCATGAATATTTTGCTCCTAGGGTTCAAGGAATCAGGAGATATTACTGCAATAGAACTCTTTTACCATGAACTGGTTAAAAGAAGCTTTAAGCCAAATAGTATTACTTATAACATTAGAATTGATGCTTACTGTAAGAAAGGTTGCTTCGCTGATGGATTGAGACTTTTTGAAGGAATGGAACGGGAAAACTTGTCACCTACGTTGGAAACAATCACTACACTGATCCATGGAGCAGGGGTTGTTCGAAATCCAATGAAGGCACAGCAGTTATTTGATGAGATTCGCTTGAGAAACTTGCTTCCGGACACTGGCTCTTATAATGCTTTGATGAGTTCGCTTATTAGATCAAGACATCTGAAGTCCGCGGTCGCCTTGATGGATGAGATGGAAGAGAATCATATTGAGCAGGACGATATGACTTACCACACCATATTCTCTGGCTTGATGAGGACATCTGATATTGAAGGCGTTTCTAGGCTATACCACAAAATGGTTGATAGAAGTTTTGTGCCCAAAACACGAACGGTTGTGATGATAATAAAATTTTTCTGTGTAAACCATCAGCTTGATTCGGGTTTGCATTTGTGGCGATACCTAGTGGAGAAAGGATATTGTCCTCACAGTCATGCATTGGACCTTCTGGTAACGGGATTGTGCTCCCGGGGTAGGGTAAACGAAGCTTTGAGTGCTCCACACAAATGGTGGAGAGGGGTAGACATATGAGCGAAGCATCGTTTCGGACATTGGAGAGCTTGCTGCTTCAGGAAGGTGAGATGGACAAGCTGAGGAAGCTGAAGCAGATGATAAAGAAATTGCAGAAGGTGTTGCCCCAAGTAAAAGGGCATACTATTGCAGATCCTGCACATTCAGACAGAGAGTTGTAGGGATGTTCTTTATTTTTTATGTCTTCTCAATGTACTGAATTGATATCATCCATGCTTAGTCACAAAAACAATCACTTGGTTAAAAGAGAAAAATTTAGAAGTGCTTTTTGGCAGCCAAAAGCACTTTTGATTGTGATTTACAGAATAATTTAGAAGCGCTTTATAGAGAAGCACATGTCTTATGCTTTTTTATGGATCACTTCAAGTGGTTTTCTAATAAGAGAGTTACTAGATCCATCTCATTGTCTTATTTTCCTATCCACCTTATAATCCCACCCTTTAAAAAAGTTAAAAAATTAAAATGCTATTTTGCCCACCCACTATTATTCCCAAAATAACCTTTAATATATACGTACATATAAAATTATAAAATTGTCTCTTAAAAAATATAACAAATAATATGTAAATGAAAATCACTAAGGTTTGCAAATTCAAATGAAAACGACGAAAGTATCCAAATTCAAAAGAATTCAACAACGACAAATTTAAAAATACGATGGACAAATTCAAATGACCTATACACAAATTACTCTTCTTCCTTTTCAATGGAAACATAATCTTCTACCTCTTCCGTAGAAGCGTCATCTTCTACCCGTTCAATGAAAAAGTCATCTTTTAAGTCCATTGCTATTTTTTTTACTTTATCTGAATGAAAGGAGATGAAAATATGAGTTAGGATTTAAGGTAGACAAATTGTCTCCTATGAACAACCTCTTTTCTTTTTTTCTTTTTTTTTTGTTTTAATTAAGCAAAGCAAAATAATTAATGTCCTTATCAATCTTTTTATAAATAGACAAATTTGTAATTAAAAAATTTATTAAAAAATAGATGAAAAAATAAGACATTGAGATGAAAATAACATCACTCTCTAATAATTACTGGATTTTAACAAAAATTTCCGCTTGTTTATAGAGAAAATCTCAAACATTTAGGTCAACACACTGCACTCGAGATGGTGAGTTCAGTTTCTCTTCCTCCTCTCTAGATTGTTCGAATTATATAAAAGGTTAGATGTAAAAACGATTCGGGGTAAATTTGACATTTCAGTAAATTCCTCCGATGGGGTAAATAACGTTCTCCACTCAAAAGCCCTAATCTTTATTCCTCTCGTCGCTCGCAACTCTCAAAGCTCGTACCTTTCCCTTTTCCTCAAATTTTCCCGAGAAAATCCGATCCCGAACATAATGGGTTCGAAGTCGAATCCCGGCCATCCTCACTCAGGCGACGGCGCCAGCCCTGGGTACGTCTTCCCTCTCCCTCTGTATCTCTCTCACACACATACCCACGCCCAATTTAGCTGTTTTCTGTTTGACTTTCGAGAAGATTGGATCTTTCTGAGAACTTCGATTTTATGTATCTTTATCTTTTTTTTTAGCTGGGTTTTTCTTTGATTCATGTATTTTATCATTATTCAAGCATTGGGGCATCGTTTGCTGCGTTTCCTCACTTTTGCTAATTTTTGTGTAATATTTGATTCGTAATTCGCAGAAAGATCTTCATTGGTGGATTAGCAAAAGACACTACATATGGTATGTCCTTTTTTTTAATTGTAAATATTAACAATTTTTTGACCTTTTTGTTGTGTTCAGCAAAGTAAATTAGCAAGGTTGTTTTTTTCTTTCTCCTTTTTATGAAGTAAATTTAAATTCGGGTCCAGGCATTGTGCGGCGAAATTATGTGGCATGAAATTTAATGAAGTATATAGAATGCTGATGGCGAATTTTTGGTTTTCTAATTGAATTTGGGTAGTTTTAGATTATTTTTAGCTTACTTGCCATATCTCCTGAGATACGAGATTTTGCTTGGTTAATTGACTTTGTATGGTTTTAGATTAAATTCGATTCATTGTTTTGTTATGTTACTGATGTGTTGCACTCTCATTTGTTCTATTTGCATTGAATCAATAGCTACGTTTACCAAGCACTTTGGGAAATATGGAGAGATAGTGGACTCAGTGATAATGAAAGATCGCTTCACGGGTACGCCTAGGGGCTTTGGGTTTATAACCTACGCTGATCCATCAGTTGTTGATACAGTTATTGAGGAAACTCATGTTATCAATGGAAAGGAGGTAAATTAGATGTTTAAGTCTGTGTCTTTGTCTGGTTTATTATAGATATATCTTGCTCATGGATTGCTGCTATTACTTTTTTTTATGCAATTTAATTTTATCTACGACTTTAATTATATGTGGATAATGTAGGTTGAGATCAAGAGAACCATTCCGAAAGGTCAAGGGCAATCAAAGGATTTTAGGACAAAGAAGATATTTGTGGGTGGCATTCCATCATCAGTCTCTGAGGGTATGCTTTTATGTTTTATCCTGCTTTCCATGTTTTCAACTCGGAAGGCTGTTGGTTTCTGATTAGGCTTGCTAAATTTGTGCAGATGAGTTGAAAAGTTTCTTCTCTGAGTATGGGAAAGTGGTAGAACACCAGATCATACGAGATCATGAGACCAATCGATCTCGAGGCTTTGGGTTTGTAATTTTTGACAATGAGGAAGTTGTTGATGAATTATTATCTAAAGGAAACATGATTGATATGGCGGGTACCCAGGTGAGCTTGTTTAGATGGTCTCCGGGTAAACAGCATGTATACAAAATCCTTTTTGACATGGAGCATCAATGTTTGCATCCTCCTGTTTTGTTAAATCTATGCATTAAAGGGTTGTTATCTTTCGTTTCCGTTAGTTATTTTAATAATTCAAATTATTTATTTGGAACTAATTTTAGGTGGAGGTTGTTACAGGTATAGGACTTCTCAGGAGAGGGTGATCACAGTAGCTCCATTTCTAAAAACCTAGGTTAACTAAGTTGCTTTGTTGTAGGTGGAGATCAAGAAAGCTGAACCAAAGAAAGCCTCAAATCCACCATCTGCTCCTGCATATGGTAGCAATTCTAGGGCTCGTTCTTTTAATGATGGCTTTGGTGGATATGGCAGTTCTTATGGTGGTTTTGATGGAGGGTTTGGCCCTGGACCCTATAGGACACCAGGTGGTCTTGGTGGTAGATATGGTGGTGGTTATGGCTACGGTTATGGTAGTGATAGTGGGGAATTTGGCAGTGGTTATGGGAGTTTTGGCAGCAGTAGCTTAGGTGGCTATCGTGGTGAGTCTTCTCTTGGTTATTCTAGCCGCTTTGGACCATATGGTGGTGGTTATGGTGGGGGCTATGGTGCGAGTGGTTTAGGTGGTTATGGCCGAGGCGGTGAAGGCTATGGAAGTTATGGAGGTTCAAACTATGGTGGTGGTGGCTATGACTCTTATCCTGGTGCTACTTATGGTGGAGGAGCAGGTGGACCATATGGAAGGGGGGGATATAGTAGCAGTAGTCGGTACCACCCCTATGGAAGGTAGAAATAGACGGCGATAGCCGCTACCATCCCTATGCAGGATAGTGATGAAGGATTTCCGATGCATTTGCTTAAGCTTTTCCCTAGAAGTTTCACACAGGTTGCTTAGATTTGTGTCTGGCACTCAGTTAGGCACTTTCTTGGAACCGCTAGAGGCTCCCTATCGTTGCAGTTTGGGAAACTTTTATGGCCAGAAGAGTTTATTAGTCGATTTCTATATTGTATGGTGTAGAAAAACTATGTAGATTGAAACACTTGGTGTCTGCTACAACGTCTTGTAGTGTCATTTTGATTTAGTATGTTGTAGACTATAGTATCGTATTATGGAGTTTATTACAGTATAATTAGTTATCTAGATAGATGCTCCATGGTTTAATTTATCTGCTTAGCCTAGCCTATGATGTTCACGTTAGCATTTGGTCACTTATAATTTGATGCGTTGATACTATTATTCGCGTTTCCTGTCCAGGGCTGTAGTTTGTATATGCTCATTCATTAGGGTTCTTGTGAGGAATAGATAAATTACCAAGGTACATGATTTTAATGTAGATGAAACTTCAGGGGCGTCTGTTTTTTCGTTAAGGTTCTTTACTATGTGCGCGATTTCCTCATTGTATTTATCATGTTTGAACTTGACAGTTTGTCCTAGTTCTTTGTTTTCAAATTTCTTTTTGTGTTTCTGATGACTGTATCTTTGATTGGCAATGAGATTCACTCCGGATCTTTGTGTCCGGAGCTGTGGACTGAGAGATCCAAACCGTTCAAGAGAGAGAGAGAGAGAGAGAGAGATTTTCAGGCTGTTCAAGTTTTTGGATTTTTATGAAGTGGGCATGTCCGAATCTCTGGACGCAGAGTCTTGAGTGGATATCAATCCCTTATGGAACTAATATTAGCATTTCAAAAATTTTACTCTACACTCGTCACAAGTGTATTCTTCTTTTTAATTATAGAAAGTTTGGAGTGCTAAATGAGATTATTGGTGTGCTAATAACAATTCTCTTTTATATAATTATATTTTACCCTCTATCTCTGGCGCTCTTTTTTTCTTGGATGAGGCAATGTCCCTTGTTATATTAAAGGTATCTTAACGAAACACTTTTAGTACTGTTCATTTTTAATGAAAATGACATTTTTATCTTAAGAAGTTACTCCTGGTGCTATTTATTTGCACCTTTATTGTCCTTTTGATTAAAACTAAAGTCTTTAAGGATTTTTCGTTTGTTTGTTTGTTTTTTTTAATTTTTTTTTATTTCCATCTCTTGCTGGCCGAAAGACGCCATGGTCCAAAATTCCTGCCGACTTTCGAGTTAATTGCCTGGTGTGGTAGGCATGGTTATTTAGCATTGTGGATCTTCTTCCAGAGCATCACTCAGAATGGATTGTACTTCGGCCAGTGGCTCAGGATGAAACTAGCCACAAGGCTGTTGTTACGTAGGGCCTCCTACTCTGAGAAATTTCAGTGTAACCGGAACACGTTATTGTACAGAAAGACGAGCCAAAAAGCGAAATCTAGACAAAAAGACGAGCCAATTTGGTTTAGAAAATAGAAGACACATGTATCATCATATAGTATCGAGTTCAAACATCTATTTACATAGGGTGGTTTTATACACATGCTAATTTTTATTTACACAACATTTTGCTAATTTTTATAATTTGATTTTTTATTTATTTAATTCGACCGTAAAAATTTGAGAGGAGTGTGTGGGTTACATATATCTGTTAGTCAAATTTGCTCTATGTGAACGCCTCCTAACTCTCAAGTTTGTAGCTCTTTTTCGTAAATTGGATTGATTTACAATCATTATTGCCTTGTAACAAAAAAAAAAAAATTATCAATCTTTTTGTGGAGAGATTTTTAAGTATGATCGGTACATAGAATGATACATCACATATAACTGTACAAATGATGAGATTTGTGTGTTAAAGCGTTAATAATTTAAAAATAAAATTTTGCATCACTTATATAAAAACACACAAATGATGTGATATGTGTGTTAAAATGTTAATAATTTAAAAAATAAAATTTTGCATCACTTATATAAAAGCACAATGTAGTGATCCAATCACAATGAAAAATTTCTCATTTTTGTGACATGTTGACTCCAAAAAAATATTCTTTTTGTGGCCAAGAAAAACAATAAAATATTTGTTTCGTTAGACAAAAATTTACAATTATGACAACAAAAATAAAAGATAAAAATTAAAATTAAAAACATTAGAAATATTCGCAGAACGACGTATCCTCCAACCTTACGAAACACTGAAAATTTGGACTCTCTCTCCTCTGCTTCCTCACTCTCTCTCTCTCTCTCTCTCTCTCTCTCTCTCTCTCTCTCTCTCTCCTTTTCTCTTCTCTGTTGCCGGAGATTCAGCAAGTGAAGTCCAACACAGTGAGTGATGGGCGGCGAGCTACGTTACGAGATCGCACAAAATGCCTACATAAAGCTGGTGCTTCACGCTCTCAAGCACAAGACCTCTGCCGTCAACGGCATCCTCCTCGGCCGCGTCTCCCCCCAGAGCGACGTCGTCGAGATCACCGACTCCGTCCCTCTCTTTCACTCCCACATCGGCCTGCTCCCCCAGCTCGAGATCTCCCTCATCCTGGTGGGTCCCTAAATCCTCTCTTTCTCTCTCGCCACTTTGTTCCTTTAGGGTTTCAGAAACTCGAATTGGGATTTTCCCGGGAAAAAAATGGTGCCCTAACTCTGTAATTTGATTAATTTGACTGTTGGGATTGAATTTGGACAGATAGAGGAGCACTTTGCTGCTAAAGGAGTGAGCATTGTGGGGTATTTCCACGCTAACGAGAGGTTTGACGATCACGAGCTCGGTGGCATCGCGAAGAATGTCGGCGATCACATTTATCGCTACCTTCCTCAAACCGCAATTCTTTTGGTATGCAATTCATCAGTCCATGAAGTTCTGTTTGTGTTTTTTGTTAGTCTTTTTGGCATGGGTTCTTATTTTTCTCGACATTTTATCCATTTCTAGCTAGATAACAGGAAGCTTGAAGCTTTGTCGAAGACGAAGGACCGCAGCCCGGTAGTGCAGGTCGGTATCTTTTACATTTTTCAGTTATGGAAAAGCATGTATCTTCGGTTTTTTTTTTTTTTTTTTTTTTTTTTTTTTTTTTTTTTTAAGATTTTATGATATGGTTAGTGTACGAGTATATTTTATTGGGTGAACTGCTTGTAGTCTGGGTTTAGCTAAAAAGTCTGAGAATTTTGTAGGTATCGGTTTTTATGCTTTTGTGACTTTAAATTAGAGTACTGCTTTGGACTTGTTGACGATGGATGTTGATAAACGTGGGAAGTGAACTATGGCATGTAAGATGGTTGGGGAGCTCAAATTATGTAGTTTGTGTGTTTACGAAGTTTCTATTATGTTTTTTTCAACACTTCCAAGACTGGATAGATTGATAGTAGTCGTCTTACTCAAATATAATGAATTACATAAAGGTAAACTCGACGAGCTATAAAGTTGTTTGTCAAGTGGAACACCACCCGTGTGATTGGAGGTCAGTCCTAACCTAAATATAAGGTGGATGAGGCTTTGGACCTTCTTGATTAACCCTCTTTTACAACTTAAGAGCATAGAATGTATTCTCCTAGGTTGGGCTGGTCATGTTTGCTAGGTTAAGCTAGTAAAGTTTTTATTTTTTTCGCGAACTGAGCTGACAAAGTTTTATTAGTCATATACATTGCCATATTTCTCTCCCTTGCTCCTCCTTCCTCCCTGTTGTGTAAATACACCATTAAGTTTTCTTTCTTAGTACCGATATAATTTAGCGAATGTACATTTTTCTGGTTTCATAAGCTATTTTTCTGGTTTCATAAGCTATATGCAAGCATCAATCTTTTCCAGTTGCTTATTTATGCTGTATTCTACATTGTCTGTGAAAATCGTATTGTCCAGTTCCATTTTGTTGTCTTCATTAGAAGTTTTAATAAAATCTCTGTTTACTTACTACATCTTGAAGAGGTGCTTTGGAGAATTTTTTTCGGACTTCTTACCTTATAGAGTTGGTTAAGGAATTTGCAATCATCCTTAATGTTCTTCAAGTAACATCACACATGAAGTTCAATATTATTATCCTTTCGGACTCCTCCATCTTCTCTGACATGTTTTTTGTCTTAATGTTAATCTAATCTTGTATTACATGGTTTGTTAGTTGCAGCATAGTTTTCCCTTGATTCTCCCTCCTAATCTCGTTCAAGTTTTTGACCTTTATTTTTCTACCTTTTGAAAAATCAGATCTACACAAAGGATGCGTCGAGGACTTGGAAGCTAGTTGGATCTGATGGAAACCAGTTGACCATCAAGGAGCCATCAGCAAATGTTGTTCTACTGGATTATATCTCAACTGAAAAATGGCAGGATGTTGTAGATTTTGATGATCACCTTGATGACATTAGCAAGTGAGTGCAATACACCACTGTCCATGTTATCTTATCTTTAAGCAATTTTAGTATTGAAACTGATGTCGATTGGAATTGCGTATGACAGGGACTGGCTGAACCCAGAACTATTCAAGTAATACCTGCCATCATCGTCGGCCTTTGGTATCGCAAATGGCTTCATGGTTAACTCAATTTCTCGTGCTGGGTTTAAGAGGACACACGTGACTTACAAGAGAATTCAGATAGATTTACCTTACTTTCATTTCTTTCTTGTTTGTAGAAAATTTCGAGATGTAAAAAACTGGATATCAGTTATCTTCGCATACTTTTTACCTTCGACACCAAAGGGTTTCAGTATATCGTTGTTTGTGGTATTGGAACAAAATTGTCAATTCAGTTTTGCACCTGAAGTTATCTTTCCTTTTCATCAAATTATATTGTTGAGTGGGTTTACAATGTTATGCTGTTAGAATACTGGGTGGAAGAGCTTGTGGTGTATGTATCATTTTCGTGTAATATCCGTTATCTTAATCTGTCGTGCTATGGCAAATTTGTTATCTTAATAGGTGATTCGATACCGACTTCATTTGTTAGCGGGTCGTGTCGTTTTGTTTTGTGTTGGGTTAACAGATTATACAAGAAATTTATATGCCTGATGTCTGGATTTGGTAAACGATATCTTTTTAAATCTTTAACCAGTGGCCTGATAGTGACCAGACTTGTTAAATTATTTTTAAAGGGTGATCCAATAATGATCTAACTTGTTAACATATTGACTCAAAATCTGTCATTCTTGTGTTGTTTTATTGGATCAATAGGTTGTGCTAGAAATTGCGAGGCCTAATATCGATTACACCACATCCCATTAGTTATCTTTTTTTTAGTACAACGATATATTTTATACAAAGAGGAGGGGGAGCTCGGCTAAGTCACACAATGGACAACCTAATTTGGTATCGAATTAACCATCCACGAAATTCAAACCTTAGATTTCTCACTTACAAGTGAAGAGAAATACCACCATGGCGTAGTACTGAGTGGCATCACATTAGTTATTACTCGTAAGAAAATTATAGTTCAAGTGGTTAAAAGCATTTGCACCTGCACTCAAGTGTTAGGTTAGTGATGTCAAGTCTTGACATTTAAGATTTCGTAGTCAATAGGCTCCCCCAATTTTGTGAACGAATTTTTGATATATCATAACGATAGCATTAGTAGATAACATGTCAATAGCAAACACCGTGGACGTTTTTAAAACCAAATGCCAAACCCCAAAGCTTTAGAAGCGCCTTATATAAATTCCAAGGCCGACGCTTCAGAGAATCAGAAGTGAAGAAAAACCGTTGAAAGGCAACGACCTTTTGAAAAGTCTCAATGCTTTCAACGGTCACTTGCCTCCATCTTCCTCCTCTGAACCACAATACAGACTCTCACACTCCTCAAACCCTCACAGCAACCCACCTCCTCCACAGATTCGCCTCCCCATCAGAGCTCAAACAACTCCACGCCCACCTCATCAAAACCAACTCTCCTCTCACTTCCCTCCCTCCCTCTCGAATCGCCTTCGTTTGCTCTCTCAACTCCAGCTTCTCCTACGCCCGGAAACTCTTCCAACATCTCGAAACCCCCGAGACAGAAGCCTGGAACTCGTGCCTGAAAGCCTTCGCCGAAGGCAACGACCCCATTGATGCAATTCTGCTTTTTAACCAGTTGCAGAGCTTTTGTGTTTTGCCGGATAGTTTTACACTTTCTTTCGTTCTGAAGGCGTGTACACGTTTGTTGGATGTTTCCAAGGGCAGAGGGATACATGGGTATGTAGAGAAACTTGGGTTTCAGTCGAATTTGTTTCTGATGAATATGATTCTGAATTTGTATACTTTGTGTGGCGGAGAGCGAGATGCGCGGTTGGTGTTTGATAAAATGCCGCAGAGGGATGTTGTGACGTGGAATATAATGATAACCCAGTTGGTAAAGAGGGGTGAAATTAGGGGGCGTATGACTTGTTTTCGCAGACGCCCGGTAGAAGTGTGAGGTCATGGACGTTGATGATTTCGGGGTTTGTTCAATGCGGGAAGCCTAAGGAGGCTATTGGTTTGTTTTTGGAGATGGAAGAGGCTGGCGTGAAGCCAAATGAGGTGACCGTAGTGGCAGTTCTTGCTGCATGTGCTGATTTGGGAGACTTGGATTTGGGTAGGAGAATTCATGAGTACTCGAACCAAAGTGGGTTTAGTAGAAATGTTCGTGTTTCCAATACTTTGATTGAAATGTATGTCAAATGTGGATGCTTGGAGGATGCCTGTAAAGTTTTCGATGGGATGAAAGAGCGAACGGTTGTGTCATGGTCAGCGATGATTGCAGGGCTTGCCATGCATGGACAAGCTGAGGAAGCTTTGAGACTTTTCTCTGAGATGATTGAGAAAGGCATGGATCCGAATGATGTAACCTTTGTAGGACTGTTGCATGCTTGTAGCCACATTGGATTTGTGGATCAGGGTCGTGAATTCTTCACCAGCATGACTAACGATTATGGTATAGTTCCTAAAATTGAGCACTACGGTTGCATGGTTGATCTTTTGAGTAGGGCAGGGCTCCTTCAAGAGGCTCACGAGTTTATCATTAACATGCCTATCAAGCCCAATAGTGTCGTATGGGGAGCCCTCCTTGGCGGATGCAAAGTTCACAAAAACATTGAACTGGCTGAAGAAGCAACAAAGCACCTTTCTGAATTAGATCCACTTAATGATGGATACTATGTCGTTTTGTCAAACATTTATGCCGAAGCACAAAGGTGGGAAGACACAGCAAGAGTGAGAAAGTTAATGAGGGATCGAGGTGTGAAGAAGACTCCCGGCTGGAGTTCAATCACACTGGATGGAGTAGTTTATGAGTTTGTTGCCGGGGATGAAACCCATCCGCAAGATCAGGAGATTGTCCAAATGTGGGAGAAACTAGTTGAGAAAATGAAGCTGAAGGGTTATGTGCCTAACACCTCAGTTGTTCTGCTAGACATAGAAGAGGGACCAGAAGGAAAAATTTCTCTATCGTCACAGCGAGAAACTAGCACTGGTTTTCGGTTTGATCAACACATTACCTGGAACACCAATTCGAATTCTGAAGAATCTTCGTGTTTGTGAGGACTGTCATGCTGCTTTCAAACTTATATCAGCAATTGTTGATAGAGAGATTGTTGTACGTGACCGGAATCGGTTCCATTGTTTCAAAGATGGTTCTTGCTCCTGCAAGGATTACTGGTAAGAGGATCTAGACTCCTAATTAAGAACATTATACGGTTCAACTGACATCATTGGATTATTTTTTTAGTTTTATAGCATGGTTTGCATCTATGGCTCCAAATTATGAAAAATAAACAAACTATTTGAGTGCACAAGACTAAAACTTGTCTGCAAAGTAATTCAAACTAATTAACTAAACCGCTACATCTTTCCGAACCAGCCATGATGGTGAATATCATCACCATCGTCAAAATTAGAACAACTGGGCTATGGTTTGCTACGTTCTAGGATGATTTAGAAGCATATCTTATTAGAGAACTGGACACCCTTTAGTCTCTATCCCTGGTGCTGTCGGACACTTGGCACGGACAATGGTTGTCTTGTTCCAGACCCAACCACTTTGGACAATATCCCTGGATTGGAGTGTGACATATAGGATAACTGCTGTAAAGGCCACACTGGCATCCAAAGCAGCTTATAGGATGTAGTTATGCCTTGCCCATCACTTCTTGTACTTTCTGTGAACATATAAGTTGAAGACCAGTCCAAATGCAAACCATGACAAACAGTTTTCGGCTTTTGCCGGTGGTAATGAACCTGTTGATCCAAGAAGTATAGGCATGATTATGTGCTGAATCCACTTTTTATCGGGGAACTTTTTATGGAGTAGCCAACTGGGAATAGGCAACAAAAAGCCAAGGAGAAAGAACCGGTTCAACTCGGGGTAGTTTCCTTTTTAGTGAACATTCTGAGTGGGCTAGCCCATTATTTAGTCAGTTCATAATTGATAATATTATGTTGTTACACTATCATGTCATTGTCGATTATATGCCGCTTATTTCAGAACTAAAAGTTTGTTTGCATCCACCAGTTTCAAATTATGAAAACTAAAAACAACTTGTTTAATTACAGAAGACTAAAATCTCAGTTTGTAGCTGCAAAGGTGATTCAGACTAATCACTTAACTGTACAGATTCATATATTTCATTACCAATCTGCCAGAATTGGCCTATATATATATGATTTTGCACAATTACATTGTCACACATTTAGGGATTAGGATTTTGATTTTTGAAACAAATCTTAGAGAACCGGACAGCCTTTGGCAACTACACCTGGCGCTGTGGGGCACTCGGCCAACGGACAATGGTCATCCGCTTCGAGACCCCACCAGCCGGGCCCCATAATATTCTTGGATTGAAGGGTGAAATACAGAAGAACTGCTGTGAAGGCCACACCAGCATCCAAAGCAGCAGATAGAATGTAGTTATGCCTAGCCCACCACCCCTTGTACTTTCTGTACACATAAAAGTTGAAGAAAATCCCAACTGAAAGCCATGTCAAGTAGTTCACAGCCCTAGCAGGCGGCATGGAGCCCGTTGCCCCTAGAATTATCGGCATGTTTATGAGCTTAATCCACTTCTGGTTGGGGAATTTTTTGGAGAGGAACCAAATTGGAACAGGTGCAAGCAAACCAATGAGGAAGAACCAGTTCATTTCCGGGTAGACACCTTTGCCTGCGAACATCCTGAGGGGGCCTATGACCCCCCATATGATTGAAGCATTGTAGAACACATCATCTCCCGGGCATGTCCACGGACTTCCCGTTGGCAGCTTCAATGGATCACAGATGTACTCGATGCTTGTGATAAGCCACCAGGATGTGCCAAAGTAGACACTTGAAGCTACTAGCGTTCCAACTAACTGAAGAAGCAGATAAGGGGAAAAATAGGTATACGTAATTAGTTATTTCACAAATAGGGTCCGTTTGAGGAGCTGAAAATTGAAATGGTTATCAAACCAACTGTTAGTTAGTGCGATTAATGCAATTAAATTACCTGCACAACAAACATGGACTTAGGAGGGATCTTCATATAGTGGCCTAATTTGAAGTCACCAAGAAAATTGAGTGCCTGTGACATACTGATATATCCATAGGTCTTGAAAGCCACATTAGCAACAGGCTTCCCCGGATAAATGTACCCAATGAGTAGCTCCGTGATCACATTAAGCCCTGGTTGCTGCAGATCAAACATAATCAAATGAGAAATTGGAATTAATCTTGACATGCTTCGAAGAAAATTTGCAACAGAAGTATGCAGAGCACTCTGATAATATTGTTCATGATTAATGTTTATCTGCGTGAGATGAAAGTACCTGGTTCGTTGTGGCTTGAATAATGCCGATAGGTAAGGTGAA